TATATTATAATATATTACCCATAGGATCCATGTATGGTATATATGCTAACATTTGGGGTATATTGATGGTACATGTTACCATATATGACATACATGGATCCTATGGGTTAGTATGTGAACATAATGTTAACCCACATCCAGTTTCATCCAAATGGACCCAATGTGAATAAAAATCCCAGAGACCATCTCACTATGAACGGTATGTCCACATTGGAAATACCCTCTGGTAATTTAACATAACTATGGAACATCACCATTTTTCATGGGACAATTCACTATAAATGGTGATTTTCAATAGTTATGTTAAATTTCCAGATGGTATCAACGGTGAACAAATCAGCGACTAATGCCCCGAATGGGTGAACCCCACTCTGCGAGTTGGCTCCCGGCGATCCCAGGGACAACCCGGTTGGTGCCGCAGCTCACGACTGCCGCAGCTCACCTGCCACGTGATCTACCCGTGATCAAATCCAAATTTGTGGTTCCCATATGTCTTCATTTTGAGTGGTACTCAAAGATATGACATGTTCCCAAGAAATGAATTCAGTTCCAAGATTCACTAAAGCAGAAATAAGTGCATTTGCATAAACGAAAAGGTACTTTTCCAAACGAAAAGGTACTTTTCCATCTGTAATTCACAAAAAGCAAATGATGACAATAGTAATTCCATGTAGTTCACAACTCAGAATCATTTCCATGAGTAAACACGCTTGGAATATTTCATGGGAGATGATGGAGCTTCAACCAACAAGATGAGAACATATATAACTATTGTATTTCATTGCATAACCAACTATGGATAATTCCCAAATCAGAAATCAGCCCAGTGTGGGGTTCTCCAACAATGTGGCATTGAAGTGGCCCAAAACGAGGTCTGGAAATCACCAAAAAGATGGAAAACAAATGGAACAGTGTGACAGGTGAATGATCACTACTTCAGTGGTGTCTTCACTTCTCATGGCCAATCTTAGATACCCTGCAAACAAAAAAACAATAGCTGGTGAACAAAGGTATCAGATAATCCCGTTGATACCTACCCATCTAAGATTGACCTAGGTATATACCATGGATTTCCCAACAACAACCGTCAGTTGGCAAAAAAACTTCTCTATCACAACCTCGCCACTCGCCGGATTTGTCACCTCAAGGCAGCTTTTCCACCTCAGGTATGGACAAACCAAACCAGAGGTTATCTGGAAAACACATGTGATGAATGGCTGGTTGGTGGTATACCATTAAAAATTGTGGTTGTCCCATTAAAAATTGTTATTATCCATAGTTATGAAAAATGATAATCATAATGCAAATGGTGATTAATGGTGATGATGGTCAAATTCATGGTGGTGATGGTCAACAACTAATTATTATGGTAAATTATGGTCAATTTATGGTGGTGATGATCAAACAAAAAACATGTCATAATGATTGTGGTCAACTATGGTCAATTCTGGACAACCATTATGAACAATTAATGGGAACAAAGCATGTTTGACCATAATTGACCATAATCATTAATTGTTGACCATAATCAAACTAATAAGCAGTGAGTATGGTCAACAATTAATAGTGATCAATTACCGGACCGTTAATAGTCAATCGTTTTTTGATGGTGATTCAACAAGCACAATGTCCTAATTAATTGTAAAAACTAATTGCACAATCATTTACAACTGACTAATTATCATGATTGGGGTGATTCAACAATCAAAGGTGATTAGTTGTCATGAATCACCGGTCAATTCTTAATCAATGGTGATTGTGATTTTGTTAATGTTCATTGTGTATGGTGTTTGTTAATCATTGTTAATCAAACCAAACTATTGCGGTGGTGAAAGAATCACTACATGACCTGGTGATAAGGGTTCAATGCATATACTATATACTGCAACAAATAATCTAAGTTGCTAATATAAAACAGTGTCCAGCGATTTATGGATTCCAATTGCTGGGAAGTGAAGACCATCCTCCAATTTGAGCAAGTTAAAGCAAGCTACAAACTTTTGACAAGGAAAAACAGGGTGATAAGATTTGCTAAGTTGATTGATAACCAGCTTAACGAGGGTTTATGGTGATATAATTCTATAGTTACCCTCTAGTAATTTAACATAGCTATTGAATATTGCCATTTATAGTGAGTTTTCCAATTAAAAATTGTGATTTTCCATAGTTATGTTAGTTTACCAGAGGGTAAATGGGTTAATATACCAACTTATAACGCCAATTGGGGCACCACATTGTAGAAGGGATCTGTGGCGTGGCTCCACAGCACTTCTTGACGGCTTAAATTCCATGATCCATGGCCACAGCCTGGCTGCCATATCATTTGGGATAAATCTATGGACCTAGCTACCCTCCGGTAAACTAACAGTTCGCTATTGAAAATGGCCATAGAAATAGTTGATGTTCCCATTGAAAATGGTGATTTTCCATAGTTATGTGAAAGTTTACCAGAGGGTAATCCACATGATTGATGGCTAATCCCCATTGGGATAAACCGATGTTTTTCATAGACCCAAAAACGAGAAAAGGCGGCGTTTTTTCCATCCACCGTATGGTGCTTCAATGGAAAATACCCGGCCTGGTAAACTTACAGTTTGCGAACTGGAAAATCACTATTTTTAATAGGTAAATCAACTATAAATGACTGGTAAACATACAGAAAACTACGGAAAATCCAGCCATGGCCCATTTCTGATTGGTAAATCACGATTTTCCATAGCAAATTTAGTTAAAGTACCAGGCCGGGTATCATGACACAACCCCCCTGGAAACTGGATCTGGATCTAACTGGATGATATCCATGGAAAATCCTGGTGAACATCACTCGGGGCCTTACGTCCGATAAATGGACCATCACCAGAATTTCCCTCTTGTTTTCGATGGAAAACGAGTATGTCATGAAGCAAGCTATGAATGTAAGTTATCAGCGTTCAGTTTTATATATTCTTTGATCTTTGCAATATCCCATAGTAATTTTTGAGACTTACACTTATACTTACAGCCACCAGCACTTCACCTCAGAGTATCCCAGCACCCCGAAATCTCTTCAGCTCTTCTCTCAGGAAAATGCCGAAATCTTAGAGAGTGCAGTCTCTACAGTTAAGGCCATTTATTAGTTATAACTGGTTATAAATGGGATTATACATTCTATAAATGGGGTTAGAAGTACTTATAACTGGTAAAGGGCCATAACTGTATGAGAGTGCAGCTTTAAATATCTTCAAATCGTGGAATGTCAACCCTGGATTCGCTTCGCAGTCGCTCTTGGCATCATAACACTGGGAATGACATTCCTCCGAGGTCTCGGAAACAGCTGGAGAGACCACCTTTGATACAGAGCCCATGAAATATGTATAGATATACAAACCATAAAGATCCATAAACATCTAGAAACATCTAGATATATACATAGTTGCCATAGTTCAACACCCACAAAACATATACTTAAACAAATAGTTAAACATCTAGAAACATCCATAAGCATCCATTTGAACATCGACATCGGTGCTCCCGTCGGCCTGGCGGATATGTACACTGCTTGGAGGATCATCGAATCATCCCACTTAGGAACTTGCTTGGTAAGCCATTCAATATGCTTAAAAATATGATGTATATATATATATATTATATTATATATATAAATATAATACATACATTATAACTGTATAACATATATATATATATACATATAAACATATATATATATATATAAATATAAATAAGCATATATGTATATATATATATATATATATATACATATACATAATATATATATACATATATACATAATATATAAATATATATACATGATATATATATATACATATATATATACATATATATACATATATATACATACCCTGCAAGTCGGAAGGTCAAGTTTTACGAGGTCTTTTGCAAAAGACCAAGTTTTACGAGGTCCTCTGGTTTACTTGGTTTTATAGAGCTCAGCCCTTTTTCCCATCAATGCTGAATTTGACTTGAACCCCATTTGAAACTGTTGATGCATGATTGGGAAGCATTCAATCACCTACAGATCATAGCCCCGAATGGGCCTTTCCAAGTTGCAATGAACAGCCACTAAGGCTGACATTCCGGAGCATATGCAAAGCAAATTCGTGGCGTTTCCCCTCAAGAAATTATATGTTTGGCAGAAATTTCCACACTGAAAAAATGGTTCCTAGGGTTTCACGCTCGGTTCACGCTCGGTTCACGGTCATAGTTGGTCTTTTGCCAGTCATAGTTGGTCTTTTGCCGGTCATAGTTGGTCCGGTTCACGCTCGGTTCACGCTCGGTTCACGCTAGCGATTCTGGGCCCCTGATAATTCAAAAACCATACGTTTGTGGTGGTTCCAGCCCTGGACTCCCAATGATAAAATAGTGTGGGGTACCCTATATGATAAACCGCAAATTGGATATTTGGTCGGTGAAGGGATGTGGCTATCCTGAAATTTAGATCAACAATTATGGGTTTATGCATCTTATATATTACTGTTGGACATCCATGGCCATCATCTTAACTTTGGACCCAAAAGGTCAAAGTAATAGTAGGTCCTCATCAAGTAATAGTAGGTCCTTTTCAGCAAAGTTAAAAGGCCAAGTTTTACGAGGTCTTTGACCTGGAGGGATATATATATATACATATATATACATACAGATATACATATATATATATACATATATATTTACATCATATGTTTACATATACATATATATATACATATATATTTACATATATATATAAATACACATATATATATTTACATATTTATATATATATATACATATATCTAAATACACACGTATATATATATATATATCATGTGTATGATATAATTATGTATATATATATACATATGTTATCCATTCGAACATTCAGAAAGTCCACTTAGGGACGAATCAAAAAAGAAACGGATGGTACCAGGATGGTGTTTTCAAACCACTGGGCGATTCAAAGGATGATCCTCTCAGTAGGTTGGCGCCCGCGCAGCGCCCTGAGTCTACGTAGACCTTAGCGAAGATTGGCCGCTGCGATCGACGGTTGCGGCCACAGCATGTTCAACGCGGAAGAGCGTAGAAAACTGGACATGGCTCAGTGTCGCATTTTTTGAACTTCCAAAAGAAAACAACAAATCCGGTTGTGATTTGCTATAATTATATATAATATATATCTCGTATTAATCAACAATTGTGATATATGTGATATACTATATAATCGAGATATTCAAGCAATAGTTGTAGATGATCTTCTAGCGCCGATCTCGACTTTTGACCATCATTTTCACTGCCTGCGGAAAACGGAAAACCCATCTGCTGCCGGGTCACATTTCGCCCACTTTCTCCTCTCCCCCGCGATAAATCACTACAGCCCGCAAAATGGCACCTACAGGGATTCAGCCAACCCCTCGGGTGCCCAATAACAAGGCCTTGTTGAGGGCAAACATTGCCCTCTGGTATCACAAATGTAGAAAATCTATCGAATTTTTAAGCGGTAAATGATCTATGGGCCGCTTTCCATAGCTATGTTGGTTTACTAAAGGGTACCCCACTTGGGCGCGCTCAATTTGGGCCTATACAAACCGTCTATTATCGAGGGGATCAGGGAAAGTTCACTTTTTGGGGTACCTTCCCGTACTCAATGAACAAGGAAATAGATATCAGATTGGCTATCATTCAGGGAGCAACCACAAGGAAACTACAGTACTGACAGTAGCAACCCAACTACAGTATGTAATTCAAAACCTGCAAGTTCTCAGCAATGAAGTGACGTCACAGTCACATCTGATTGGGACTTTCACTCCCTCCTTAAAAAAGAAATCATCGCTTGGGCTCATCATCCTCCGATTCTTGTCATGATCTAAAGACAAAAAACGAGAAATCTAGAGAAATCTGACGGAAAGTCTGGAGAAATCCCAGCCCCTTGTATTGAATACCCTCAAAAAGGGTTCCCCGGATGAAATCCACTCTAGCCAGAAGTAAATGAATTTGGTAGACCGGTAGACCCAAAGCCATAAACTATCCCCCAAATCAACCTGGTTGGTGGTTTTTCGCCCTAACTCTCTGAAAAATAGGAGTCAGTTGAGTCAGTTGGGATGATGACATTCCCAACTGAATGGAAAGTCATAAAATTCCATGGTTCCAGTCAGCACCAACCAGCATTTCATGGAATATCCCAATGGGAAGGATTATCAACGGGAAGGATTTTCCGATATATTACGGAAAATAATCCATTCATGTTTCAAACCACCAACCAGATACCCTCTGGTAAATTAACATAGCAATGGAAAATCACCATTTTTAATGGGAAAATCCACTATAAATAGCCATTTTCCATTGCTATGTTAGTTCACCAGAGGGTAATTAATATCACCGTGGCCGGGATTCCAATCATCCCCAACCCTGCTAGTTATGGCAGGGTTTCCCCCATTTCAAGAACCATCGAGACTGAGGTTGGCACAACAAACGACCAGGACACACAGAATCTCCTCGTTCGTGAGCAGTGGCTGCATTCAACCCCTGGTTGAGAATTAGTTGGGGGATTATACTAATTACACTACCCAATATATCAATATACTGAGGGATTATAAATGATTATAATCATCCAAGAACGGGGAATACTACCCCAATATATATTTATATATATATATATATAGTGGTATATATATTTTGTGGATTATAATAATCCGATAATTCAATAGGGAATCCCGTTCTTAACCAACCAGGATTAAATGGAATGACAGAGGGATCAAACATGTCAGCCCTGGCTTGGAACTCCACGTGGCCTAAATGGAGCTTTTAGATCTTTTAGTGGGAAGACAATGGCAACATATTCTGGTTGGTGGTTTGAATTCCTCTGAAACATATTAGTCAGTTGGGATTATTATTCCCAATATATGGAAAAATAAAAAATGTTCCAAACCACCAACCAGTATTAAAGGGACTATCTCATGGAACATAGCTAGTAAATGCTAATAATGGATAGTTGGGTTGTTACTTTCAATTATCAAATTAACATAGAAACGGAAATCTCATGTTGCGCTGCCCTGCGCTTGTTGGAGATCGGCCAAACAAGCTTACGTCCTCCACCTTCAATGGCTTCAAAAGGGCCTTGGCACGGAACTCATCATCTCCTTGTTCGCCTTGGCGGTTCTTCGCCTTCAAAATCTTCAAATGAAGTGCTCACGCCACTCTCCTCATGGCGTTAAAGAGGTGTTCCCTGAAGACCTCGAGGTCAAGGTTGCGGAGAGTTCCATCATGGCATGGAGTTCATCTTCCATCTGACCTCCACATCCAACTCCTTGGCATCTGAAGAGAGGTCCGCATCGCGCTCTTCCGGCGAAGGAGGCTTCAAATGGTGCGTGTTCATATCTGGTTGCTGGTTGACCTACCCCTCTGAAAGATATGAGTCAGTTAGTCAGTTGGGATGATTATTCCCAACTGAATGGAAAGTCCATGGTTCCAGTCACCACCAACCAGATATCTATACAAAACAACAATGCTGGAGGGCCTTGTTTCATTCCTAGAGGTTCATCCCCATGTTGATTGGTGTGTCACCAAACGCCTGGCTAAAGTAGGTGACACGAAAAAACTTCCGCAGTGCTAAATCCAACATAAACAAAACACAGTTTTTTGGATATGGAATGAATACCTTTCCAATGGCAGTTGAGAAACTCTGGTTTTAGTATCTGCAAGTATTAACACGATTAAGACACATTATACTTCAAATAATCATTGACATTATGCAAGTTAAACATTGACCAGTGGTCCCCTTCATCTGAATCGAGGGTAGTGTATATCATTGTACCATCACAGATACATGCACCATTGATCGATGAAGTTCCCTTAAAAAACTCCATTGATATCACATTTCCAGCCATGTTTGATGACACCACCACATAAACTCAACACTTTGTGCAGTCAAACAAGTAAAACACGACCAACTGGGAGCCCCAACCCACTCTGTCATTCCTTGAAATCCCAGTTGGATGAGAATAGATTTCTAGCTCATGGATTGCGAGAATCCTCAATATTCTATATTCTTGTGGATAGGAGTGGATAGTATCACTCCATGTAATCATCAGCCAACCATCAATAATCAATCGTACCCCGATGTTAGTTCGATAATTAAAGCCCCCATAAGGCCCTGTAAATTAATGCTTAAATACCAATTCGAGCCATTCATATCCCACAAAACAGAAATTGAAACCCCATGTCATATTCCATGTTGATCCATTGTTCCTTCTTTAAATTATGGCCCTTTACCAGTTATAAGTAATTACTTATAACCCCATGTATAGAATGTATAATCCCAGTTATGACCAGATATAACTAATATAGCCATGGCCATAACTGTTTAAATATGGTTAAATCCCATAAAACTCTGAAAATCTGAATCTCTGCTCACTTGGAACCCTCATTTTGCCGTTTCATAACCATGGCGCCACCAGAAGAACCCCAGCAAGTCCTGAGGAAATGGAGCTGTTCTTCGAGCGGGATATCGTGGGATATTTGACATAAATGGGTAAAAACCTGTTAGCACCATAAATATTGTTGACACCTGTTTCTCTTGTTTCACATAAATGGGTAAAACACCATTTATATCCAAGTATTGTGTTTTCTTGGGTTATTTAGGACATGTTTATTCAATGGGAATTTCAGGATCCGATTTATTGGAGGTACCTACCATATATAAGGCCTATTTTTCAGGCCTAAATTTCAGGGAATATCCCTAGAAAATATGGCCAAACATGTGGTACAGTCAGTACCTCCATTTTAGGATCCTGAAATTCCCATTGATTTATGGTGTTTTACAATAGTGGGATTAGTGGGATATGATCTTTCTGTCTGGAGATGGAGTATACCATGCTATACCTTCAAGTATAGCCAAAAATAACAGTGAATTTCGACAATGATGATTCCTACATTAGTTATATATATATAACGATGCATTAGATCTCTCAGTAGTTTTACGATGTAATTCTGTAAATACCAAAGCAACTGAATGAGTGGTGCAAAAATGCAAATGCCAACACCCTGGGTTTCACCTTGCAATACAGGGATATGATACTTATGTCTAGGAGATATGATATGTCTAAGCGTACTTGGAGGGTCTAGGGATATAGACGATAGGTAGAGTAAATGTATAGATGTATAGATGTATAGATAGGATGGGATAGGATAGGATAGGATAGGAAAAGATAGGATAGGATAAGGATAGGATAGGATAGGATAGGATAGGATAGATAGGATAGATAGATAGATAAACAAAATAAAAGAACATATTAGATTAGATTAGATTAGATTAGATTTAGATAAGATTAGAATAGATTAGATTAGATAGATAGATTAGATAGATAGATAGGTAGATAGGTAGATAGGTAAGGTAGGTAGATAATATATATATATATACACATTCACTTCACTCACTTTTTGAAGCGTTGCAGACCAAGCTTTCCCAATAAAAATAGATTAAAATTGTTGGGATCCATTTGAGTGGTAAACTTACCACTTATGGGCGCAGTGCTTTTCGTCCGGCCCCTTAGGGCCCCCGCCACACCGGGGAAACACTAGCAGCCCATCCTTTCTTCACCTTTGTGGGTGTGACTAGCATACCCTCCGGTGTCATCAAAGGTAGCTAGCTGGGAAATCCGCGAACTAAATGGATATGATAAGGGGATAAATATGGAAAACATAGTACAAATGGAGCTTTTAATGGGATAAATTGCAGATATAGCTTGGCCATTTTCTGTTGCCACCTTTGGTTACCGTAGGGTCTGCAGCTTCCTAAGCGATGTCCCCAAAACCGAATTGCACGGATGGCCCATGGCGCCTTCCACTGAGTCTTCAGCTGAAAAATGGGTTGGTTTGGGAAGATCTTGACCGGCAAACCCAGGATTCCAAAAACAGAACTGGTTGGTGGTTGACCTACCCCTCTGAAAAATAGGAAAGTCAGTTAGGATTATGAAATTCCCAACTGAATGGAACAATAATCCAAATGTTCCAAACCACCAAAAACAGAAAGGGACCCCTGTAAATCTTCCAGCAAGGACTAGAGATGTTTGGATATTTCATGCCATTGCTATCATCCCACTTTCAGATCCCCAAAATTCTCACTCATACCCGAGAGAGCCATCGGAGAAGCATTTGATCCCATTTGATTCATGTGAACTATCCCAAAGCCTAAAGCGATCCGACTTAAATCTCCACAGCTATTGCCATGGCTATTAGTTATATAACTGGTTATAACTCAGATTATACATTCTATACATGGAGTGACTTGCTAGTACTTATAACTGGTATAACTCGGGCCATAATTGTAGTTTCTATTATCTCTATTTAATTTGGTATTCCCAAAGCTATCGCAGATCTGGCAGAATTTGGATCCAAATCTCCCCATGATCCCTCATTCTTGATTGTGGAAAAATCCCCATGAAGCCCCATGATAAATAGGATTGGTAAATAGTGTTATGGGGATAAATAGTGTTTTTCCATGGGAAAAACTTGATTGTCGTTCCTATTTAGCATGTGTTATTTAGCTATTGTCGTTATTGTGGATAAATAGTGTTTTTCCTATGGAAAAATCAATAACGACATGTGTCATTGGATTGGTTGAAGATAACATCTACAGGAAACCATTGTTTTTTCTTAATTTCATATGGGGCTTTCCTGCAAAAATTCCCTTAAACAAATCCGATTGAATTTGTGCTAAATTCGTCGAAAGACCAACATCATAATGATTATCATTATATATAATTATATATATGTAATTATTATCAATCATGATTATCAATCGTTATTAACCACTACTAACCACTTTTTTTACGACCAATAACCATTGTACCCATCCAGCGCAAATTCTTAGCTGGTTAGTTCCTAGATATTCCCATTGATACCAAAAGACTAAAGCCCAAGCGTCTGGGAATGGTGCTCTCTGTTTTCATGGTCTCATCATTCCCAGTCGTCCAATCCATCCACCACCTTAGACCACCATCGTAAAAGCAAGGCCCGGCCGCTACGTAGCGGCTACGCTGATACGGTGATGTCCGACGTTAACGTTGGTGTTTTTTAAAGCCATCTGACTATGGAACAATATATCATGTAGATATACCATGATATACCTATATACGTACTTTTCATAAACATCTTTAAACCCTGGCAAGCGCAACTACTTTTAATTACTTACAAACCAACTCAGCTAAGGTTTGGGGGCAACACAGTGTATGGTTTCGTCTCAAACATGAGTACTAAAGTTCCGAAAAAAATGAATCGACCATGACAATGCGGAGCTGATTGATTTTCTGTTGAGAAGCAATTGCAGATTTACGTGAACCCATGCAAAATAATTGTAGATAGGGCCCTTGTTCATAAAGTGTTTGAACTGTGGGTTTCTATGACATATATTAAAATAGGGTACCCAAAAACCGCATGGTTTTCGACCTCTGTCACAGCGACGTTACATTCCCAGAGGATAATGAAAGGCATCAAGGTTTGCTGTGGTGAAAAGCTGGTCTATGTTCACATAAATGGGGGATGACCATGCCCCCGTTGATAGACATTATATAATATGTCCGTTAGAAATTTGTAAGTTATAAGGTTTCCCGAATGATGGTGGGATGACGAGTGAAAATGTTTCCCCCACGAGTATTAAGAGGTAGATAATCCATTTTTGTCATAGCTATGTTAAACTACCAGAGGGTATCTCTTCCAATGTATCTCATAATTATAATATACCCATTACATAATTACATATACAGTACATACAAAATCATACACGTATATTTGGGTTGGTCTGAAAATAAAACACCCACAAATCCCATAGTCTATTATCATGTTCCCTCCTATCAAATAACCATGTTTGGGGTATACCCCATTTCCAGACACACAAGCGGATCACGTCAAGTGTCGTCCAAGTGAACGTCATCAGCAGCACAGCCAGCCATAAAATCCCTGCAATGGGGCTTTGTTGGTAAATTCATGGGATCTTCATGGGATTTTATTGGGAATTTTCCATGGGAATTTGAGAGTTCAATGGGATATTTTGGGACTTTGATCGAATTCAATAGGTTTTAATGGGACTTTGATGGAATTTCACGTGCGTTCAATGGGATGTGTGTTCGAATTTGAAGATGTTACCGTCCAGTGTCATCCGTGCTGGGCCGCCGGGATCATCCTACTGAAGGGCATCCTTGTTCTGATTCAGAGCTAGCAACACTGACATCGTACACAATGGATCAATGGTAAGTAAGCATTTTCAAACATGGGCATATAATGGGATATGTGATCTGATATGTCAAGTCAAGAATCACTAGGAGGATGGTTAACAGTTTGGATATAGGATCTAACTTGCATAAGCAAAATAATTGGGGGAGAATATAGCCCCTGAGTATCCCAATGCGTTGATATTTGGGGGTACATCGAAAATCATAGATGGTTAGTCGGTTAGTGTTTGTCGGCTTAGTTTACCCAGTTGTAGAATTCCTGAGAAATTATAATATGGTGGATGGTTGCGAAATCCTGCACCAGTTAATGGGTGGTAAACATCCCATTATTTATAGGGTTTCAACCATCCCAAATTGGTGTTTTATCGGATTTTGCTGGCCCATCCACAGTATTTCACTAACCAGTTACAGGAGTTACCCTCTGATAAGCTTTCACATAACTATGGAAAATCCACCCATTTTCTAGCTGGGTAAAATAAGGCCGTTTACAAGACATACCACCTTCCATTGGAGAAACAGGTCTCATCCCATGACCTTATTCGGCGAAACAACGCCACCCGTCTTTGCACTCCCGTGGATTAAAAAGCGATGCAGAGGTTCCCTGAAATGAGGCCGGTTATGGTCCTCGTGGTTAAATGTGGTGATCATCTGATCGGAAGTCCTCGTGGATTGTTCCAATTATAAATGGAAGCTATAACCCCACAAGGCCCGAAATACCAGTTATAACTGGTCATAAGGTGATTATTTCCATGGGATGATACATTCCATGGGGTTTTCTTAGAATTTATAACACCTTATAACTGGTAAAGGGTGTTCTAACCCATGACCCTCCGAGTATGGTTGAGTCCATGGCGGCGTCACCATGTTTTACTGCCACACTTTGCAGCCATTGTTATATGGTTATCCTGCATATTTAAATCAGCATATATATATATATATGTATGTATATGTATATATATATATATGTATATATGTATATGTAAATATATACATATATATACATATATACATATATATATATGTAACTATATATATGTAACTATATATATATGTGGATACAATTATATATATATACATATACATATATTTACATATATGTATCTTCCTCCAAAATCTTTGATAATTCCATCACCCTAATATTAACCACCCCATTTCTATGGTCCCAATTATGTGGAAATTCCTTACTAAATGGGTGTTTAATATTAAGGGCATGGGACTACTTAAGGCCCTTACTGAAACCTCTTTGATAGTTATCCCCAGCTAGGGAAACCGTTGCTCAGTACTCGCCCTGGACAGCGCCTGAGTAGAGAAATCTTCTCATGACCACTCCGGTGGCCACCAAACTGACGTCAGCAGTGAAGGGCCATGTTTTTTGGGGGGAAGACATGGACACACATGGAAATAACAGTGATTAGTAATGATTAATAGTGGTTAATAGTGATTAATAGTGATTAATAGTGGTTAATAGTCATTAATAATAGCTAATAATAGCTAATAATCCCTGAAATGGAGGTACCCCAATAGTTGGATGGCTTTAGTGGTTAATAGTGGTTACTAGTGGCTAATAATGGTTCGTAAACATGATATTGCGGTTCCCTGAAATGGAGGTACCCCAATAGCTGGATCGTTTATTTCATGGAAAATCCGGAAATAGCATGGATGAGAACTGGGGGTACCCCTACTTTAGGAACCCCCCACATTGTTCATTCGGCTCTCTCTACAGGAAACGAAAATCAGTTCTTCCGAAATTGAAATCCAGGTTCCGATTTTCTCGGTGTTTCCTTTCGTCCAGTTCAAAAATGTTCCCACTCTGGTTTCCAATGATTTCCCACTTCATCCAGAGATTTTCCATTAAACCACTAATGTTGGTAACACAATAATGAACCATCCCCCCAAAAATCACAATTTTTATAGGTGGTGTGTTTACCATTCCCAACTGGGTGGTTAATGGCATCGTTTTACCCACACTATGTCTCTTGGTCTACAAGTAGGATCAAGTAGGCTTTGCCGCTGGCGCACCTGAGAGGCTTCTGATGGCTGAGCGCTTTGGCCCAGAACCTGTAGCCCAGAGCTGCTGCGAGGTCATGGGATTTTCATGTCGATTTTCAAGGAGATTTAATGGGAGGTTAATGGGATTTTATTTTTTTTGGCGAATGGATGCTAACATGGTTCATTTGCCAACCCAGATGGCTGAGCACAACCACAACAAAAGGTTGCCTCTGGCCACTGGGCGCACCCGAGCAACGGGCCCCAATGGCTGCCGCTGAGGGATTATTCACACCCCCCTTGCCGATGATATGGTCCCTTGCCATAGGTGACACACAATCAGGAAGACACCTGCGCTTTGGAACATGCCGTGGCTCCCCTCCAACTGGTGCCGTCAAGCTTGTGTTTTTGGCTTGCAGCCACCCTCCAAGCTGGTGCCATCAGCTCATAATCCAGCCTTGTTCAGTGGCCGAGGGGTATGAGCCACCAAGCCCCCCTAGTTAGGCGCTCACTGACCACAAATTCTGCGGTCTCTTTGTATTTTTGGCCTTTGATCTCATATCCGGCTCAGTAGAGCATTGCGGACTGATAACCTGTGAATGGGTACGAAACTGGTTGTACTCCGTGATCTTACTGCAGTATGCCAGTAGTCCAGTCCGCTCAGCGCAATCCTTGCACTCACCAGCGGTCTTGAGCCTTTTGGCCCGGTCTTGAGCCATGGCAGCAGAAGTAAAACTTGCTGCCGGCATGCCATAATATTATCTAACATGGGGTATCACCTGGCCTGCATTCCATTCACATTTTTATATATGGAAATTAATGAAATTAGTGAAGATGTTATGGATTGTTTTAAGGAATTAATGGACATTTGGAGGGAAAAAAATGCGGGAATTCATTGGATTTTTTGTGGTTTTAATTGGGGTCTAATGAGGATGTTGCCCACCACACTTGGGATATAGAGATTGCTTAAGATGGTTTATCATTCTAATAACCATAGGAGCTACCTATATGCAGTATAATATAGCATAATATATATATGTGTATATATATATATGTATGATAGATGGAGTTATGATATATGATGTTTTATGGAGTTCTGATTGATGATGTTTCTGTTTGATGAGGGGGCTCTAAACACAAAAACAATTGGAATCACGTGGGATATCAGTGGGTTCGAGGCCTTCAAAATAGGTGTCTGTCGGTTTATTATAAGTATGTATAAGAATTATTATCTATTATATTTCTGGGTGGTAAATGCCAGAAATGGGAACCAGTTGAGGGATACCACCAACCAAAATGGTACAGAACCTAGCTAATCTAACTATAGTGGAGATAAACATGGGGATGCAATACTTGTGTATTGGGGATATACACTAATCTAGGTAAATTACAATATTTCACTAACCTGAATAGTTCGGCCATAGAAGGGGATGATTCCCCTAAAATAAACCATGATTTCCAGTGAGGGGAGGACAGTGAGGTCGTTATAATTTACCCAGATGAATATACATGAATATACAATGTATACAATGGGTATAAACCTGTTGCTGCCTCATCGCTGAGACTTCCAAGCGCCTTCTTCTCGAAGCTGATTTGGGTAGGTTTTACGACAGCAAAAACGTTCGTTTTTAGGAGGGGGGTGGAAGTCTAGGATAGTTTCATAAGTTGGTTTAGAGCTATAGGTTGGCTGTTGGGTTTATTGTGATTTCAACTTTAGATGGGTGAACATAAACCAACAACAGAAGTAGGGGGACACTGTCACAGGGCCATGGTTTATGCAAAATAGAGCATGTCACTCATTGATCGATGGTCATGTATCATGTCATGTTGCCACCTTTCACCTACAATGTGAGGCCCCCAAGATAGCGTTCAGTTGGTTTATAACTCCAATTTCACTATGGTTTATGGTATCTAAATAACAAACTAGTTACTGGGGTGAATCTAAACCAGCAAACATATCTTGGGGGCCACCTTTCACGTACCAAATTTTCCCATCCCCATGTAGTCAATGGTCATCCAACATGCGCTGCGCCAAAAAACCAGAGCTGCGCTCCGTCCATGACCCAGTGAGCAAAGTTCCACGCAAGGCCGATGTAGTGCAAGATGTAAACGATTTGGTAGTCCACCTGACAGCACTGAGTCACTCGGAAGATGTGAAAAGATGTGAAACTGTGAATGGGCCTGTTTTGACTTCGATGATTTATCTACATTTCATCTAACTCATCCATCAAACATATGAATTTTCCATTGCAAACCCCTGTTTTTTGTACAAAAAAAAACTACATATCCAAAAATGGTGCTTATTGCGGCATGGGACTCACGTACGCCCGAGAGATTCAGCTCACTTGCACCACCACCCAGTTCCCCTCTCACTATATTTAAGGTTTACATATTGTTGCACTTCATCCTGGACAGGCTATGACACCTTTAGCTCAATCTAAGAAGGGCTAAACAAAAAAACAAGTCACCTAGTCAGGCTCCTTTATACCATGTTTTAAACATTTATAGACCAACTGAAGTGTGATATCCAACGGAGAATCCAAACTCCCCAGCGTGTATCGCTTGGAAAATCACCCAGTCCCGGCCAAGTGGCTCTTTGCCGAGCCCAGAAACAGTCGCGCGACATGTCCTGGGTGCCGAGACGGTTCACCGATGCCAAAACGACAGATGATCCCATCCACATATTGGTGTACCCTCTGGTAAACTAAGATAGCTATTGAAAATGGCCATTAATAGTAGATTTTCCCATTAAAAATGATGATTTTTCATAGCTATGTTAGTTTACCAGAGGGTATCAAATTTCACGAGCTCCTGTTTTTTTTTGATGTTTATGGAATATTGGATGTCCCTGTCAAAATGTAAAATATTCCCTAAAATTCAAAAATCCCAGGAGCTCGTGAAATTTGATATATTGGTGGGATTTGAATCATCAAATTGTGGGGATATAAGATGATATCCACGTGGATATAACTGGTATGTCCGATGACAAAGTGGATATAGTGGATATCCACGTGGATGATAAAAACGAGTTTAAACCAATTTTTGAGGGCTAAGGGGATGTACCCTCAAATTCTATGGTTTTGTATGGTAGAGTAGCTCCAGTTTAGGTATTTAGGTACCTCAAATAGCCATATAGTGGGATCCCAAGATAACAATACTCAGTAGTAGAATTACCCTCTTGTAAACTAACGTAACTATGGAAAATGGACCATTTATAGTTGATTTACCTAGTAAAAATGGTAATTTTCCATCGTTATGTTAGTTGACCAGAGGGTACTAGATCAGATGTTCTATGGGACTGCTTACTCATACTGGGAAGGGATTATCAATTTCTTGAGTCATAAATGCTAACATCCCAAGTCTATAATTCCCTTCATAACTGGTTGGTGGCTTTAACCATCTTGAAAAATATCAGTCAATGGGAAGGATTATCCCATATATTATGGAAGATAAAAATGTTTGAAACCACCAACCAGATAATCAACTTCAGAAGATCAGTTGTTGATTACAGTACGCTTAGCAACTCGCAGAGTATATCGCATGTTTGGGCACTATATCCTCACTTGAGCCATGAAAAATACAGTATATCCCTATCCCTATCTCATTACCCAACCTGGTCAACGAACTTACATAACGAACTGGAAAATCCACCCGTGTTATAGCTGGGTAAATCAAGTATCAATGGGTCATTTCTCCAGTTCGCAAACTGTTAGTTTACCAGAGGGTATACTGGTGGGAAATATTCCTACTATGGGCTGCAACAGGGATTAAACCAGGTAGCTTAATTATCCCTGCTAGGACTTGAACACTGCTCACTAGGAGCATGTGAACAAGTAAAACCTAAAGCTGCAAGAAAGATGCACCCCCCACAAGGTACCCTCTGGTAAACTAACATAACTATGGAAAATCACCATTTTTAATGGGAAAACTCACTGTAAATGGCAATTGTCAATAGCTATGTTAGTTTAATCATCAATAAACAACTGTATGTTAAAACCTTGTGTACCCCTATGCCACCCATGATAGTTGGTAGCCGCCATGGTATCCCTATTACTTATCATGACCCCAATAAATATCATTGCAGCCACAAGAAAGGCGATTTATCAACTACTATATTCCCAAATCGATGGGTTAACCCCCAAAAAAAGCCTCTAGACATATCCACAATTCATGTTTTTTGTGCCATTAAAATCCCATGACACTAATCAATCAACCATCATCTGTCAATGGTATGTTCTATCTTTGATGGTGAAAAATCCCTGGTTTCACCCTGAGGAAGTGATGCTTAAGTCCCAACCCTAGAAAAAAATCTGGCTGAAGCCCTTCAAATCCCAAACAAACTCTATACTTGATGGTTAAGTGGCATGAATTTGTCATGAACCTAACCAATTAACCAATCAATCACAATTTATCCATGATACTTAATGATAATTACTTAACTATATTTCATTGTGAAATCCATATTAAACTGATCATCAATCGACCATCATTCATCAGTTTATCCCCTTATATCAGCATCTTAGTCTTATATCACCTTGTTATTCCCATAGTTTAGGGCTTAATTTCTACTTAATATCCCAACCAACAATCTCCCAAGTAATCATACACAAATCATCAACCATGATTTATCAGTTAAGTGACATGTTCACTGAAAATTTCACAAAAAAATCCCCCATAGTTCGATGCTTCATATCGTTAAATCCCCAATGTGAGGCCCCCAGTCGAGCTCGCGTTCAGTTGGTGAACATAGCTCCAATTTCACTATGGTTTATATGGTATTTATAACGAACTTGTTACTGGGGCGAATCTAAAACAAACAGATCTAACGGGGGCCTCATGTAGAAGTCACTTACAATATTGGTACAGGGCCATCACACTTCCAGATCTTCAAGGGCCAAGGATCTTCACCATTTGGACATGCCACAGCATTGCCACTTCTGACATAGGCGCCACCTTTGTCAAGGCGCCAGGCAGTTGGATGGGGCGATTGGATGGTTAGAATTTGACTCATTTGACCATGAAAAAGTACGCGATTTTGGTTCAGTTAAGGCCATTTATTAGTTATAAGTGGTTATAAATGGGATTATACATTCTATAAATGGGGTTATAAGTACTTACAACTGGTAAAGGGCCATAACTGTTGGTTGGAATTTCACCGAAACTGACCATTAAATGGGGATTTGACCACGAAAACCGAGGATTTCATTTCAGCCAAAATGGGTGACCAAAATGATTATTTACCATCTGGTTATGACTCACATAGCTATGGAAAATCACCTTTTTTAAGTTCGGTAACCATCTATTTCAATGGGCCATCTATACCATGGCTATGTCAGTCATAACCAGAGGGTACACAAACAAAATAAGGATTTGATGGATTGGTTGCTAGGGGAAGTCTTGACAGGAAACCATGGTTTTTTCTCCCAAAGCTACTGGAGTGGCCAACTTGGAGCCCTTAGGATCCCCAGCTGTCACAAACTCGGCAAATTGCGTCGCAAATTGGGTTCAATTCTCTACATTTCGTGGTGCCCCAGTTCGATAGCGTTCAGTTGGGGCCTACATAACTAGAATAAGTATAGGACTTATGGTAGATATATGTAGATATATCGAACTAGTTGATGGGGGTTATAAACTAACATTCAAATCACTGGGGGGGTACCACATTGTAGCTTAATATCTGTACGGTGATGACATAACTGTATCTAGTGGGTGAAACTAAACCTATGAAACCAACTAACATCCATTGATATATGGAAATTGTCCATTTGTTTATCCATGTGTAAACATGGCATCCCATATTTTCATATTTTCGGTGGTTATATAACTGGCACCACCTTTCACCTACAAATTCCCCAGACCCTCTGGCTTAGCCAAGGTTCACAGAGAAGGACAACTATGCCACAATGGTCGGCAATACAAGAACCCACCATGTATATACATATTTATACCTCTAAGTCTATATTCTATATATTTATCATCATGCATCTACGATATACATATACGTATATCTATACATCTATATCATTCTATATCAATATTTATACATATCGTCATGCATCTTCTACATAGTCACATAGGTCACATAGGTCACAGGCATGTCCAGTGCCCACCTAAAGCTGTGACCAGAATTCCCGCGACGTAGGACATGGCATGGTTTCGGGGAAGCCACCTGTCCTCAGAACCAGGTACGATGGACGATGGGTGCGCCCCATGCCGCCCATCGTAGGGAGAACCGAGAAAAAAGGTGATGAAAAACCAGGAACAAAGTGGACTGCAGATGATTTGATCAACAAAAAATGGGACTTCAATGGACTTCATAATTGTAATCTCCTCCAAAATTCACGTAGACCCTGCGATTGAGAAACGGGGTCTGGAAGACAACTTCCTACTAAAAAAATGCTATATAAAGCCCTATAAACCCTTTTATATAGCCTATAACCCATAATAACCTACATACATGTATACATATAATTATAGATATATACACATATATAATTGTATATATATATAATCACTTACGATTCCTGGGCACCCCCAAGGAAGTCACCTAAATATTATTCGAATGTTCAATTCATTTTTTTGGTTTATCTCCCCATGGTAATCTCAAAAGGGTAAATGATGATCACCGCCATCAAATATGTATGGCTACTGGTAATCCATATTTGTATACATATGTAACATATGTAACACTATTTAGATGGTATCACCGCAATCAAATATGCATTAAACTTATATGATTTTCAGACACAGCCATAATGTATGGCTACTAGTTGATGGTAAGAAGGCAACTGCACATGAAAACAACATATTTCTTTGCTGATAAAGTGCTACAAGAAAATGTTGTGAACTAAACGATTCCAAGATTGAAAAGTCACACTGAGAGTATTCTACAGATATGGCCCGAAATACTAATGTTTTTTTCCACTTAAGACACCACATGTATGGAACAAATGAGCCTTTTTTTTTCGCCGGCCAATAACCATCAACCCTCAAAAATACCGGCGAGCCCATGGTGAAATCCGGCGAAATCCGATCAACCACCAATTTGGGATGGTTGAACCCTACATAGTGGTGCCCCAGTTCGATAGCGTTCAGTTGGTGAACATAACTACAATAAGTAGGACTGGTAGATATATCGAACTAGTTAATGAGGGTTATAAACTAACGTTCACATCACTGGGGGGTACCACATTGTATAAAAAATGGGATGTTTACCATCTATCCACTGGTGATTCGGATTTCGCTGGCCCATCCACAGTATCACTGATATAATTCTCCCATGGCAGATTTAATTTATCAATGGTATTTCGGGTTTCTGCCAGACTTCGGCAGCCACTCAGGAGTCGATGCCCATGATTATAAACGTCATTTCGTTGTGGAAATGGCCAAACAAAAACATACTACTTGGTGGCTCATCCGACTTAGGATCCGTGGTTTATATCCCCAATTACAAGTGCATTAGCCTTACTTATCCCACTTATAACTGGTGTGATGTTACCCATTTACTAAGTGGGATGAGCCACCAAGGACAGTATTTACCCCATAAACAAATGGGACTTTCCGAAACTTGGTCTACCCAAAAAGAAACACAAAAACATATGGGTTTCCTTGTGAGACATCAAACAATACATGATAACTCCGGGTCTCAAACATGTTGTGAAACCACCAAATGGCTCACAATTATGTGTACAATGAGAGAAACAACACTAACAATGGCGTAACATGAACAAATAAGTCTTATTGCCCATCATTCACCATGAATACCTTCTGGTACACTAACATAGCCATGGAAAATCACACCTTTAAAAGGTAAATCAACTAGAAATGTCTCATGTTCATCCATTTTCATCCATTTTTCCCTAGCTATCTTTGTTTACCAAAGGGTAATGATGATTCACCGTCATTCTTCAGCCTTCAAGGGGAGGGTCGAAGTCGGTGAGGGCCAAGGCGGCCAAGGGACCGAAGTGTCAAAGTGGGCTCCCATGCCTATCTGTCAACAATCCGCTCATCAGAACTATGGAAAAATCCACCCATTTTATAGCTAGGTAAATCAACTATTTCTATGGCGATGTTCAATGGCAAACTGTTAAATTACCAGAGGGTAATGGATTGATGGTTCATAAAGTTTATCAACATGTTGATGCTGATAATTGCTTGTAATACCCACTAACCTTGTTGTCAATGTGATTAAAACCATGTCATAAACCATCCCCCAGCCATGACCACTTTGATGTGGTATAAACCATGAACAAATGGGTAGTTTATGGCATTGTTTTACCCACATTATGGGAAAATGTTGGATGATCATTCATGACTGATAATGATTGATCATTGGCAATGGGATCATGAGTTTTTGATGGTGGAAAGATCGACTGTTGGGTGCGTTTATGGTACTTGGGGGTGCAGTTGTTGCCATCCATGGCTAGAAGAATGGTTTTCTGAGCCCCCGAAATCCCCAGAATCCCCAGAACTATGGTTATATTATCCAGTTATTTAACATAGCCATGGAACATGAATGAAAATGGCCCTAATCGAAATAGATGGTTTACCGAACTTAAGAATGGTGATGTTCCATGGCAAACTGTTACATAACCAGATGGCATATTATCCTTTTATACCTGGGACTGCATTTCCAAGTGGATAATATATGATATATATATATATATATCTTGACAATGGGGGTTATCAACCAACGTATATAGATGTCAAAATATGTGTCAGATTGAATGCCAGATTGGATGCCAAATAAGATGTAAATAATAGATTGTCAGAATGCATGTCAGAATGTATGTCAGAAATATGTCATGTCAAATAAGATGTCAAGTAGAATGTCAGAATATATGTATGGAAGAATGTCAGATAAAATGCCACATAATGCCACATAGAATGCCAGATAAAATGCCAGGCAAAATGCCAGAATACATGCCAAATAGAACGCCAGATTTTTTTGTGAGAAGAAATATCACATAGTATGTCAGAAAATATGTGAGATAATATGTCGGATAGAATGTGAGAATAATATATGCCGCGGTGGGGATCCATCTTTCCCACTACATGCCAGGGCCCCCCTAGATAGGTAAGTTTCTTGACCACTGGGCTGACTAGGATCCTATGGTATGTCGGACCTATCATATATCACATATCATACATCATACATCATATATCATACATCATATATCATATATCATACATCATACATCAAATATCATACATCACATATCATATATGTCATATATCATACACCATACATCGAATATCAAACATCATACATCATACATCATATATCACATATCATATATCATACATCATATATCATATATCACATGTATATATGTATATGTATAAATAAATATATCTATAGAATCTATAGTTTCATGCTTCGATGGGCTGAAAAACAAAGCAACTGCCGTGGGGGATACCTGTGGGATGATCCTCCATTTGATCAAGAAATCTCCCATTTGTTGACATCTGGTTATTTAACATAGCCATGGAAAGGTGGATTAAGGTTGGATTATTTATTATTTTAGGTTTTAAAGTATAGTTAACACGTGGCTTTAAGGTTATAAGGTATAGTTAATCACTTAAAGTGGCTTCACCACTATAAACCCACTAAAAAAGGTTATAAGTTATATCTCAATAGTTACCCAACCTAGTAAAACAACATAGCGAACAGGAAAATCACCATTGTTAATGGGAAAACTCACTATAAATGACCATTTTCAATAGCAAACTGTTAGTTTACCAGAGGGTAAACATCCATAAATCACCATATTTCCTATATTTTTTCCAATAAATCACCATATGTTCCATATATTACCAGAGGAAAATTTCGATATATCACCAAATATATTGTTATAGTTATCCCTGTTATTTCCCCCATTGTCCGTGGTGAAGTCGCCATCGCCCAGCTGCTGCTAAGAACGCACCAATGTCCACCATGGAGGAAGCCGAACGCTGCCCATGCGCAGAGCACTCCGCAGGTGTAGGTTCGCCTACTGTCCTGCGGGTTATAGGGACAAATGGTGCAACATGCTGCGTTCACCAGCAAAAATGGAAATGTTAGCCAGTTACCCTCTGGTAAACTAACATAACTATGGAAAATCACAATTTTTAATGGGAAAACTCACTATAAATGGCCATTTTCAATAGCTATGCTAAATTACCAGAGGTTGCCCAGAATAATGGGGAGAAATGCTGGGTTCAGCAGCAAAAAAGGGTGACCATCATAGGGAAAACATGGAAAAACAATTGGAGAATTGCTGTTTTAATGGATTTGACCAAGGAAAATGGATGTCTTCAAGTCTTCACCAGCAAAAATGGTGAGGCCGTGAATGGATATGGATTTTCTTGGTAGATTTAACTGTTGGGTGTATGGTGATTATAACTCATAACTATAACCATTAATCGTAGTTACAGAATTGGAGAATCAGCCCCCTCACAGTGGGTTATCCCATGCCAAGGTTGATGCTTAACCAGTGAAAAAGTCAGAGAAAGTGGGGATAGAACACGGTTTGATGGTTAACCATTAATTCATGGTGGTTGAAAGTAGCTTCAAAAATTGTTAAGAAAGATTAAACCGTGTTTCAGTAATTACAAATTAATCAAACCTAAGAAAATGAAGTACGAGTAGGTTCAAATCTGTTTCAGTAGGTTCAAACACACAGTTTTTTTTTTTTAATGGTGGGTTGAATCCTACTGAAACGGTGATTCAATCCACAAACACTTGGGTTTTCAATGTTGAAGCCTCTACAAATGTTCTACCAATCCACCATGTTTGAAATGGTTATGAAACTGGTTGGTGGTGCAATGTGCCCATCTTGAAAAATGATTGAGTTCGTCAATGGGAAGGATGACATCCCCAGCATATGAATGGAAAAATAAGATTCATGTTCCAAACCACCAACCAAATAGCTACTATTTCCTTAAGCTCTAGATTTCCAGTAGATTCCCTATAGGAAATATACATCCTCTATCAATGGTTATGAAATGTTATGAGAATTGGTGGATTCTACAAATAAGCATGGAAATCGATATTATCGCCTGGAAATGGGCAATCAATGACTATGATAAATAAACATGGGGGATCATGGGGGTCTTAACATGTGTATGTATGTATATATATATATATATATTATAAATTATAAATTATATATTATATATTCTATATTATTATATATATATATATATTATTTATACAGTATACATATACTGATACATACAAATATATATATATATATGTACAACCAGCAATTCCTATAGGATAATGCAACTTGGGAATTTGACCACTACCAATCAGGTAATCTACGAATTATCAACGCGGGATCGATCCATCAGTCAGTTTCAAGGATCATCAAACTGATTTCCTGAGGGCCCCGTCATATTTGATGACACCGGATACTCAACAAACATGGCTAGTTGATCCTACAAGGTAGTGCCCCAGTGCGCTAAATCGCAAAGTTGGGGTTCACATAACTCCAATTTCACTATGGTTTATGGTAGAGATATTTACATACTTACTATGGTTTATAAACCAACTTATAACTGGGGGGGGCACCACCTTGTAGCTATTGAGGACTGAGCCTTCTGGGATGCTGCATGGCGAGGATCACATGTTTTTTTTCCCGGGCAAAGTTATCATCTGGTTATTAAAGATAGCCATGGAAAATCCCTTATAAAATTTATAAATGAAGGTATTAATGGGAAAATCATCTATAAATGGGCCATTTTCCATGGCTATGTTAGTTATCTTACCCTCTGGTAAACATACAAAAAACTATGGACAATCCACCCATTTTTAATGGCAAAACTCACTATTTCTATGGCCATTTTCAATAGCTATGTCATGTTAAATAACCAGAGGGTATCTTAATGTGTGATGAACAACTCTTTGTTCATGGAAACGAATATACAGTATTGATGGTCAGTTGGTTCACTTGGTGGTGTTTCACAGTTCTGACGGCTCAAAGCCAATTTTTTGGATCACCAGAAGGAAAAACTGGGATAACCAGCCAATGAATTTGGCGATTGAATCCCCAATTGTTGGTGAAATTCAACGTTTTCATGGGATTTTATAGTGATTTAATATTTAATGGGAGATTTCTGGAGTTTAATCGGAGATTCATGGGAGAAATGGAGGTTTACCCAGCGAACTAAACCTCCATTTAGTTGGTGGATTAGCCATTGATAGGTTTGATGACACCGGAGGGTATTAACCAATATTCCAGTGATCTTCCATTCATATTCCATTCTATTATCATTATATCTCCAGTGTCTCAACCACTGTATTGGTGGTATATTCCCAAAATATTGGTGGTGTTTTCTACCACTCACGATCCATGTATCGCTCCTCCATAGTGCACCTCGCGAAAACCACACAACAGGCGATCCATGGAGCAACGACTAGTTCGGGCGAGTTCCAACTTGTCAACGTTATCACTTTGAATAATAGCGGGCACGTGTTTATTTTGATTAAACTGACTGAATTTTGAAATATGTATGTATATATATATATATTATATATATTATATACACATACATCTATATAAATAGAATCATATAGATACATCTATATTGATTGTATAAGTCCAGGGAGTTTGGAAAACACATTTAAATGTGGGGTCCTAGCAAAGTTGGTGAACATAACTACAATAACTATGTAGGGTTGATCAGGGGGATATCACGAACTAATGAGATGGAGTAAGAAACCACCTTAGAATGTCTGTTCTTCATCGTCCGTCGTGGCTCCCCAAATCAAATCGCCGAAATGGAGTTCCCTCTTTGGAATCTCCTCCGCTCTGAGTTTCACGGCTTTCAGCTTGGCGTGCTTCTCCATGTGTGGCAATTCATACTCCATGTGGAATGTGCCGAAGAGCTTGAGAAGTTCCCCCACCTCCTCAAGCTTCTCAAGCTCTCCCAGGTAAGAGCTAATGATGTCTGACAGAATCGTGTATGGTTCTGTGCTCCTTGGCAAAGGTTGCGAAGACCATCTCACTGACACCAATGGCCGGGTGCTTGAAGGTCCTGGTGAGAATCATCTTCCAGCCCCTCTTGGATGTCGCAGGAGAATCTGGTAACCAAATGGCCATGGCGTTGACACCAAAGACCAATATCATCCAATATCAAGTTCCTCTGTTCAGCCATGTTTGGTGATTGAAATTCCGGGATGGAAAGCAAAAATCTGCTTGAAATTCTGGTTGCCTTTTGTTAACCACTGCTCTTTTGCTTCTTGAAATCGCCTGCTGCTTGGCCAAATTTGATTTATTGTGGTCATGGCGATTATTTGGTTCTACTGGAGGGTGTACCCTCTGGTAAACTAACAGTTTGCTATTGAAAATGGCCATAGAAATAGTGGATTTACCCATTAAAAATGGTGATTTTCCATAGTTTTGTGTATGTTTACCAGAGGGTATGTGGGATGACGACTAAAACAACATATTGCAATGTTTCAGTTCATTGGTACAACATGCTGCCAGTGCTATTGTGCATTGCTACCCCATGTCATCTGTGGTCACCCATAGTTAGAAAAAAAACATGAATATATTTGAATATGGATAGTAGGTCAAAGTGGCATTTTTTTTGCATGCAATCTACAATTTTGGTGTATACCGAACTTATCATCCAATTCATTTGGGTTCTGTATCACGTTGCTTGGTTGGACGATACATCGTTGGAAACATATTGCTGGGTACTTTATTGTGATCTAATTGGGCATTGCCAACAAAAATGTTATCCCATTCCAGGGTTGCTTTATAGGGGTTCCCAAATTGGATAATAAATTAACAAAAAAACATACTGTACTAGAACCCAACAGCCAACCATCAGCCAGCCATGTAGTTTATTAATCTATTACACACATCTCCATTGATGGAGGCTCATATCCCCGTTTGTCATTTTCCATCATTGTAGAGTACATCTTGCCTGTTGAATTCCCCTGTTTGCTGGTCTAACCGCCCATTTCTGTAGGATCTACCCTATGGTAATTTAACATAGCTATTGAAAATGGCCATAGAATGGTTGATTTACCCATTAAAAATGATGATATTCCATGTAGTTTTTTGTATGTTTACCAGAGGGTATAGCCTATGAATCCCCATGTTTCTCAGGATCGGCAACCGCCTCAAGGGTCTAAAATTGTCCGCCAAGCAGGTTCCAATTTGGGCTTGTCCATTCCGTGCAAAAAATAACTGAAAAGCAAGCTACAACACGATCCAAGTATAAACTCCCCATAAACCCAACTGTCATAAAGAAATCATAAACCAACAAGAGAGCTAGAGAATATATACATCAATTTCATCTCACAATCCCCTGACATACTGTATGTTAATGTATTTTGTGTTGGTTAACACATGTATTTTCCATGTAGTTTCCTCAGATTTTTGCAGGTGACATCGCCATTTCCGGGACCCCAGGGCACCCCGCACCTCCGTGAAGCTGACGAAGGGCCCAAGGGCCCAAGGAAGCCCCGAAGCCAACGGCAGGCCAGTGGATGATCAATTTGGGTTTGGGTTGATACTTACAGTTATTAGTTAAGGCTATAGCTGGTTGATTACAGTTAAGGCCATGAGTTTATAACTGGCTATTTCACTGGGATGAGAAACTTTTGTCACTTTGCTGATACTGCGTCAGATCAACGCTCGGCGCATGCATGCAATCATCGATGGTAGTGACTTATTAGTACTTATAACTGGTATAACTCGGGCCATAACTGTAGGGGTTGACATGAATCTTGTAACATCTGAAAAACCATAAAAACCATCATAAACACCTCTAATTGGCTGATGATAGGGCTTGACAACTACAAGAATTAAGAATGCTTCAGTTGAGGGGAATATTACAGCAGTACTTACTATAGTTGGATGGGGTGAAATAAACCAACTTACTTATCTAGGGAGCCCCAGCTTGTCGGAAAGTATGCTAAATTCACAGAAATCCACATGGAAGCATGGTGCTTCATCCCACGAATCGGATACGTGATTTATAGCCCAAGAAAAGTGGATGAACCTTATTTATCCCTCTGAACTAACATTAACTAACTGGGGTGATGTTACGATGTTACACATTTACTAAGTGGCATGAGCCACCAAATCACCATGTAGTTTTGATGCTGTGGTTTTGTTCGCATAGAGTTGGGTCATGACGCTATCTCCAGCCTGGTCAGTCTAGACGCGTCACTTCACTTTCAAGGCATTTTCGTGAATTATCTGGTTTTACCCTCTGGTAAACATACAAAAACAGTGGAAAATCACAATTTTTACTGGGTAAATCAACTATTTCTATGGCCATTTTCAATAGCAAACTGTTAGTTTACCAGAGGGTATCTAGGTATTGCCGCCGTTTCGAAAAATTGACATGTCGTCGGCCAGATTTCCGAACTTGATATGCAGAAACCTTGAACCCAGCTGCGACAAGCTTTGTTTTTTTGGTGACACCCAGTTGGAATGAATCCACCCTGAATATCCATTGCTTAAGCATCAAAGCAGCTATAAAATTCAGAATGTTCAGTTGTGCCCAGAAAGATCTTCGATTGTTAGGTAATCTAACAGTTTGCTGCCATGAACATGGCCCATAGAAATAGTTAAATAGTTGAATTACCTATTTTTTAAGTGGTGATTGTTACCCTTGTTTTTTGTATACCAGAGGCTACTTCAAAAAATCACTGGACCATTGGACCATTGGGAAAAAACATCCCCACATGTGGTCCATCACAATACAATGAACCCGACATATCGACATGGGTCATAGTTTGCTAAGTTGGTGCACATAACTCCAATTTCACTATGGTTTATGGTAGATATCTATAGTTACTATGGTTCATAAACATTAATAAACCAACAAACATAACTGGGAGGGCACCACCTTGTAGTGTTTGAACCCATTTGCGATACATATCCAATGCATATCCAAGTAGCCAAACGTCAATTTTCCCGAGACGTGTGTTTTAATTTCTGAGATTTTGGCTACGTGATTTTCCGTGGTTTTCCATGGTTGGATTGCCAGAGGGTAATTAACCAGCATTGATTTGCATGGCAATTTGTGACTAGCTATGGAAAACAGCTATAAAAATCGTTGATTTACCCAAAATGGTGATTTTCCAGTTCGCAAACTGTTACATAACTATTGAAATTGTATGACATTGTCATAACAATGGTTGATTTCCCGTTTTTTAGACATGGTGATTTTCCAGTTTAACTCTTAGTTTACCAGGGGCTAAAATTTCACCGTCCGAGCTCCCCCACCGTGCGCGAGAGGTCGCGGACGATGTTCTTGTGATGTGCCTTCCGCCGAATTTACTCTTAAATCACTACTGATAGCAATATATGGAACATCATACCCTCTGGCTATATATGGAAAATATAGGAAATATATGGAACATATGGGGGTTGTCCAAAATACCTTTTCCCGGACAGCCCTCAATCGCTCAGCCAATCGCGTAGCAACCGCGGTACCACAGTGAGCAATCGCGGAAGGGTTTGTTCTTCGTTGATCAGATCATATACATAAAATATAAGTTATGTATTATATAATGAGGATCCATGCGTGAACGCATTCGATTTCAAATTTGGGAACAAAATAAGCTCGCGCGGTCCGGAAACGGTCCGGAAAACTCACAGTAGTACCAGCAGCAGTAGTACTAGTAGTACTAGTAGTACTAGTAGTACTAGTAGTAGTCGTAGTAGTAGTCGTAGTAGTAGTAGTAGTAGTAGTAGTAGTAGGAGGGGTAAGAGTAGGAGTAGGAGTAGGAATAGGAGAAGGAGTTCTAGTAGCAGGGCAAGGGAAGAAAGGGAGAGGGAGGGAAAGAGAGAAAGAGAGAGAGAGAGGGAGGGAGGGGGAAACAGATGGTTGCGTTTGGCCGGTTTCTGACGGGTTTCTGACTGGTTTCTGATTGGTTTCTGACTCGTTTCTGACCCTTCACACGAGTGCAATTGGATCTAAAAGCAAGAGCAGAAATTCCTAGGTGTACTAGTGGTAGTGGTGGTAGTGGTGGTGCAGGGTGGTGCAGTAGCAGCGGGTGTGGTGGTAGTGCTGGGGCTAGTAGTAGTACTAGCAGTACTAGTAGTAAAAGTAGTACGAGTAGTAGTAGCAGTAGTAGTAGTAGTAGTAGGAGTAGTAGTAGTAGGAGTAGTAGTAGTAGTAGTAGTACTAGTAGTAGTACTAGTAGTAGTAGTAGTAGTAGTAGTAGTAGTAGTAGTAGTAATAGGGTGGTAGCCGTATAACCAATCGCCAACCAATCGCTCAGCCTATCGCGATGCAGGTTTTAGCAATCGCGCAAAGCAAAGTAAACGCATCAATTCATAAATTTGTGACCTGCTTTTACGGACGGCTCCCATATGGTGATTTATTGGAAAATATAGGAAATATATGGTATTTATGGATGTTTACCCTCTGGTGAACAAACAGTTTGCTATTGAAAATGGCCATTTCTAGTGGATTTTCCCAGCTAGAAAATGGGTGGATTTTCCATAGTTATGTTAGTTTACCAAATGGCAAATATTTGGAAATATGAAGATTGGGATGTTAATGCATAAATAATCCAGCAAATATTTGGATACAGTAATAGTTATCATGTATATATATATATATAATGAATTATATACAGTAATTTCTATCTAGATAACCCGTAAATCATATCAACAATATCATCAAATATTTACAGTTAATGGATGGTTGGTTCATAGTATCCATAGTATTAACAAGTATCAATCTATGGTCATACATATTAATCGTCGTTTATGCCTGTTGATGTTCCAGATATTTGCGGATGTCCTCAACACAATGGGGTGATCATAACCCATTGTAATAATGCAAGGTGTTGCTCTGTGGTTATGTGTCGTCTGCTTATTGTATAAACCATCCACAGGTGGTATATAGGTTTATGGCACTAGTTTTACCACATAGATCCGCAAAATCCACTCATAGATTATTTTCCCATTATATGGGTACAGGTAAACATTAGGTACCCGGTACCACAACAAAAAAACAGCTAGCACTTGTGCTATGCCCAAAACTCTTTCGGTATGATTGTTGGGAACCTGATTTTTGGTGACCATTACAGTACTTTGTGGCCTTCCAATATGTTGAGATGTTATAACTTGATGTCCCTGGCTTTGCGAACCCAAGGACGTGTTTGATGACCCTCTGAGGGGAATCTGCTGTCCGGCAATCCTTGTTTTCAGCACTTTTTACATAAACCATGATAAACCCTAAACAAAAGCTAGAAAAATCCTAAGAAAAACCCTAAAAATAACCCGTGAACCTGAAGGAACCCTAAAGAAACCCAAAATAAACCCTGAAAAAACCATATGCATGTGTATATAGTGAAGTACCTGTGCGGCGTAGCGCACGTGCTGCGGGAACAATGAGATGGTTAATTGTAACCATGGCATGTAGCCACTTCTGGAGCTTTAATTTTCTCCCATCCCATCATTCATTTTCTAAATTATCAACCCATTATGATAATTTCTGGTCATTATGATGTGATGGATGATTTTCCCATGGTTTTTCAATAAAACAACAAGTTTTTCCCAAGGTTACTTGGTGGCTCATCCCACGAATTGTAGGTAACATCACCCCAGTCAGTTCAGTGGGATAAGGAAGCTTCATCCACTGGGAAATCTTCATCCGGGGTGAACTAAATGATCCAAACCACGGACCCAATTCGTGGGATGATCCGTAGAATCCCAAATATATAAATATTCCCATCGTATTCCCATAATATTTCACTGATCTCGTTTTAGGGTCTAGATCCATGGGGTTTACATCAGCCACCTTTTTCAGCAAGATGCCTCAAAGCAGCCTCAATTGAAACATTTTGAACATTGTCCAAGGTCGACAATGCCATGTCGTGTTTCCAAAAAATGTTCAGAATTGCTCGACACGACCAACTTGCCCGACAAAAATGCTCAAAATTGCTCGAAATGACCCAAGCCGGCCCAAAAAAATTGCTCAAAATTGCTCCAGCTTGTTCAAAATTGCTCAAAATTGCTCAAAATGTCTCAAAATGTTTCAAAATGTCTCAAAATGTTTCAAAATGTCTCAAAATGTTTCAAAATGTCTCAAAATGCCTCAAAGCGTCTCAAAATGTCTCAAAATGGGCCAACAAGTGTGTAAAGTGGTGATGTGCTTGCATATACATGTGCGAGAGTTGTCATTACTTGGCATTGCTCTTGCCGGTGTCTACTGTTGCATGGGCTTAAGGTCAGTGTCAATTGCGCCGAGGTCATGCCTGCTGCTACGTTCGAACCCCTCAATCGTCAATTTCAACTCAGAGGGATCACTTGTCATTAGATTGGCGGCCATAGTTTCAATTTAGGCCTATCCCGCAAAATCATCATTGCCTTGATAGGGAAAAACCGTTCATGCCCGCAGTTTCTTTTGTTTCATTACTGCCTCTTGGTGGTACCGCAATCAGACATGAACTTCTGGGTTCTTTGTGTTTTTTGAGATTTAAAAGGTATCGAATCTAAACCTCACGGATCTACACCCCATGCAAACAGTGAATATCCCCATCAGTGATACATGTAAATGTTGCTCACTTGAGCCCTCGAAGAAAATATGGTCAAAGATTTGTTGCTCACTTGAGCAATATGACAAGTTGTTCTCCAACCATGTTACGTGGCATGAATATGAAATGCTGATTCGAAATTACTGTAAGCTGAATGCGACAAACCCATACAAACCCGCCAGATTTTCACAAAAGAGCGGTAGCTAGACTAGCACATTCAAAGCCGAGCTGGTCGAAAGCATGGCCCCAAGCATCGAGTGTGAAAGATATGCACATCATTGGTGCCTTCAAGCTAAGAATTGGCCAAAGGAAGTCATCCTGGGCGATTGTGATGCTCAACATAGAGAGTGCTCATGACTGCCCCATTTTTTGGCGCCGATCATACATACAGTCTGCCCTGCGCCTGCCTTTCACCGGTCATCAGCTGGGGGTTCTCGTTCTTTACGAGCATTGCCAACTGTGTCCACGTCAGCATGGCTCTCCCCTAACTGGAGTGAGCGTCCGAGATATCTACTGGTTGGTGGTTTTAGCCATCTTGAACAATATTATGCAATGGGAAGGATTATCCCATATATTATGGAAAACAAAAAATGTGTGAAACCACCAACCAACTAACTATACAAATCCCCTGACATTTTTCATGATCTCCCAACTCAAACGCGCCTCATTGGTGCCGCCACCAATCTCCAGAAGCTTGGCATCGCGCCTCAGCGATAAGTGCCCTAGGAAAAGGATGCAGGGCACAACCAAAAACCCACCTAGAAACCGAGGAAAACCTTGAAAAACAACTTCAAAAAATAGAGAAACAGAAACCTACGAAACATTACTTTAAAAAACTGAAACAAGTTTGAAAAACCTAGAAACACACATGGAACAACTTAGAAGAAAGATAGAAAAACCTAGAACAATACCTAGAAAGACAAAGAAACACCATAGAACAACTACTCAAAAAAACATAGAGAAAACACAAACAACTTAGCAAAACGTCGAAGAATAACACCTGTATAGAACAAGCTAGAAAAAAGAAGCTATATTATACAACTTTGCAAAACATAGAAAACTACAATGACCTAGGCAAAAACCTCAACAACTCATAAACAATCGGAAATCATCCCATGTAGTGTTTGGGAAACTCCTGAAACAAATGGATTGAATCCTATGGTAGAAACAATGAGGTGAAACAGCAAGTTGATGGATACCCAACACTCTGGTTATTTAACATAGCCATGGAAAATGACCCATTTATAGATGGTTTACCCATTAAAAAGGGTGATTTTCCATAGTTATGCTATAGTTTTTATCAGAGGGTAATTCATCCCGCTCGATTTTTGACCATGAAGAAAGTATATGGCCGTTAGGTGATTAAACTATCACATGTGGGGGTAGATGTTCAAACACGTTCAATACCAATGTCAACCCTGAATGATTAAACCCTGGATTGTGATACAATTTAGGGGCGTATGCCATCAGAAATGCTACCCTCCATATCAATCAGCCACCTGTTCCTATCCACTCATACTTACCGCAATCAGCGGGTCTACCATCCAATTCTGGGCAAGGAACCACAACGTGGGGGCCCCAAACGATAGCTGAGTTGGTATGGTTCACTAGATCAATTAGTGTTTCGGGTAGATATGTACCCTCCAAGAAACTAACATCATAGATGTGAAAAATCAATAGTGTGGATCGTTTTCTGAACGGGTTCCCTATGGTTTCTTCCAGTAGCTTTACCCTAGGGTGTCTCGAACATGGATAGCTGTTTTTTTTCAGTATCATTCCATGAATCGTAAGTGGTTAATAACCATAGTTACTTTACCCACTTATTATATATGGGCCCCAGAAATGGGGAACATACCCTCAGTATACCCATTAACTACCATTAGTTCGCTATATGCCCAAGTCAAGTCATATCCTCAGTTATAAGTTGGCTTATGTGTCAACCCATTATATAATTATTATTAACTAGTTCGTTATATGCCCTACAAACCATGCTTTTCACAATTTTTTCAGTGAAACGTTAGCGTCACCGTTGCCCGCGATGACTCGAGGATGGCCGGAGGACTCGGTGGCCCGACCAAAGTCTCTCCACATTGTATTCACCCACGTAGCCGTAGCCACCCATCACCTCGGGCGGAATCATGGAACATCATGGAACCATGGACCATGGAAGATGATAGGGATACATATACATATATATATATATATATTAGAAGATATGCTTAATATGTATACTGTAATATATACGGGCATGTTTATTTGTTACAACCCCACTTGTGGCTACTTTCAATGCTCACTATAGAAATCAAGCCAGAATGGTGTTCAACAATAGATATTCAACTTTCTTGTTACTGGGATGATGATCGTGATATATCGTGACTACTGGAGAAAAACAAACTGGTGCCTTCTGCATCAGCGAGAAAATCGGCAGAGCTAGATCACTTGGTAATTCCTGCTTAGTTTCCTGACCCCTTGGGGGAGGAAAGAAAAGGAGCAACATGCCAAGGAAGCAAAACAGAAAAGAGTGTAGGCGCAGAGCGTCCAGCAGGAGGCAAGGCGACAAATGACGGCACTGTGCCAAAAGTCAAGGGCCAAGCTCGGAAAATAACCTGTGGACCAGCAACTACACTAGAAAGCTCGAAAATGGCCACAGCGTGCACTGAGCACAAAGAATGGCAACGCAAAAGGTGAAAAGGAAAATCAACCCCCGGCTCTCACAAGTCAATGGCCACGGCATAGGAGAGTATACGCAAAAGCTCTCAGCTTTCCAGCAAGACGGCTGAAGCCCGTGAGAGGGGCGGCATCTGGCTGGTCAGCTCTGCTCGGCGCCGGAAACCAGCTTGTGCTCGGAAGCGGCGGGCAGTCACCCAAAGCTCCTGTAAGAGGCGTTGGTGAAGTTCAGCAACCGTCGCCCCTTCTCGAGCAGCAACAGCAGCTGCGATGATGTGAAGCACATGGGCCGCTGATTTGTCCCAAGCCCCGGTGGTTTCGGCCACCATGGGGCGGAAGCAAATGTCCTGGTGGTTTGCTTTGAGGTCTTGTGACAATAAGGATTAATCAGATTTTGGAGCCACCTATTTTCAGACAAGCCCCAAATCTGCAAGCGCACATGGAAAACAAATGAAAACAACATTTGCGCAATAAGAACGAGTTCTGCAATAAAACCGACAAGGAGTCTTAGCCATTTTTCTTCGGCCCAAAGAACATAGCGAGATTGCGACACTTGGTCGGGCGTTAACGTCGCGGCGTCGAGTGTAGGGACATGACCCATGACCAGCAAAAATGAAAACAAGTGACAGGACCCAACAAAGAGTGCTGCACTATATATGACTACATGGGTACAATATACCCTCTCGTAATTTAACCTAACTATGGGAAATCACCATGTTCAATGGGAAAATTCACTATTTCTATGGCCATTTTCAATAGCTATGCAATAGCAAACTGTTAGTTTACCAGAGGGTACATCAATATACTACATAATAATCCGGAAATCAGGTCCAAACATTCCTGCATGATCTCCCAGCTTGCGGTGCTTCCCCTTCAACGGCCAGGGGAACGCATAGCTGGGATTAAACCCAGCTATAAACATCCCCAATCTAACCTATAGAACCTAGCCAGCCCAGAAATATGTGTCTTACATCCACATCTTTCCACATCTTTACATGGCCAAAGATGAAACCACACATATATCTAAAAAACACATTACGCTCGATTGATGTGTTTTTGTTGTAAGAAGATTATGAAACAAATGGTGGTTGATGAAAATTCCTTTATCGCAAGTAAAACTCCTCAGAAGGACCTTTAGATCGATCACCAAATAACAATCCAAGGGTCCTACCCATTAAAGGTGGTGAGTTTCCATACAGGATGGTGCCCCCCAGTTATAAGTTTATAGACCCCATTAACTTAGTTATCTATAGTAGATAATTTTTATGGTTTATGGTAGATATAACTATTAGACTATATAGATAACCATATTTGGTAGTTATCTATAGTTGTACCTACCATAAACCATAGAACTCATCCACTTGTAAGGCAACTAAACGCTATCTTGGGGGCCCCATCCTGTAGTTATGTTGGTTTACCAAAGGGTATACAGTTTTCAAAACTGATCACCCCTGAGATGCGCCTGGATGGCCCGGTCGGCCACATTTTTGCCCATCTGGCCACAGTAGAGCTTCACGCCATCCGCATCCAAACCATTGCCTATCCGCGTAGACCGCTTGGTGGTGCCCCAGGGAGCGATGAAAATCGCTAAGTTACGGTGCGTTTATAACTCCAACTTCACGTTTGGGTTTATGTTATATAGATATATTGACATACTTACTATGGTTTATAAACCAACTTAGCTAACTATGGAGCATCACCATGTAGATCGGAGATGTAGCAAACTAGCACATTTAAAATGGTAAATGCTGGGAAAGCAACCTACCCTCTGGTAAACTGGTAAACATACAAAGAATATGGAATATCACCATCTTTTATGGGTAAAACAACGAACTAAAGGGGCATTTTTTAACAGCTATGTTAAATTACCAGAAGGTAAATCCAGTGAAATCCAGTGGTTTGAAAACTTGATTTTCATTGAATTTCCAGATGAAAACAGTCATGACATGTCATGACTTGGGGTATCCATTTAAGACAGACCTGTGTGAACGGTCATGGAAATGATATGTTCGTTGCTTCGTGGGTTTTGAACCAAAACTGGGGACGCCGAGAAAGAGCGTTTTCTCTCCAAAAATCCATCTTTGTTTTGGGGTCTCTCTCAAATACATCATCCATGCACATATGTTCCAAGTGTTTCCGACCTGGTAAAGGATTTCGTACACCCACATTCTCTTCGTTTTTGATTAATCGATAAATCATGTTTATGAATAATTGCTCGTCTTGGGTGATCTATTTTAAGAGTTATACAGTTACAGTAGATGTTTACGATAGTTTAACTCCGAATCCGTTTCTTCTGAAATCAGGTAAAACATTGCTTGATGTTTCAGAGATAACCTTAAGTTCGCTTTCATTAATCGGACATCCCCTTCCTTTATGCTCAAGTTGTGTGAAACCAAGACTTGTATAACCCCCAGTTTGTTTCTCCTTTGAGGAGGGGACCAGGCCGCCAGGTTGGAGTCCCGGCGATTGGAACAAAATCCTATTACAACCCCCGGACATATCGCATTCAATGCCAAGAAATCACCATTTTTCTTGGTTAAATCAACTACTGGAGATAATTAATTTGACGTATTAATTCACCCATCATTGATGCATATGAAATCCCCATTGTTGTTGGTTAAATCCCATGCAAGAACTCAATGACAAATCCCATTAAATCGAATTAAGATACGATTAACAGATGTTAAAACTCAATGAAATCACCAAAAAACACTACTGTAACTGAATAAAACACAGTGTTTGCAGAGTGTTTTGCTGGTTAAACAAATAAATTGGAACTTTAGCCACCAAGACAACGACTTTTTCCCTCGCCTACAGAGTCCAACTGCAAATGTCTTGCCACGTGGTAGACATAGCTGCGTCCCGCCTGAGGGATTTTTGTTGGGATAAACCCATGGCTACTGGGTGGTTCATCCCACTATCGGATCCGTGGTTTAGTTCACCCTAAATGCATTAACTGTATATAGTAATTTATTTATCCCACTGAACTAACTGGGATGAACTAACATGTTATAACACATTTACTAAGTGGGATGAGGCACTAAGTAACAAACCCTGTGGCTCCAAACGCCTTCTCAGACTGTAGTTGGCGCTGGTTTGGTTTGGGGTTCCAACATCCAACATCTTCGACGGTGGAGCACAAGGGAAAGTGGTGATTTGGGGATGATCCAACTTTGAATGTGGAATTATATTTGTGATTGCATGAGAGTATGTATCCAACTTTGTTTTTTGTTGCACAACTTTTGGTACTACACTGGGGTCAACATACCAAAAGATATGGACAATCCAAGGGAAATAAAAAACATGAAATGAGCTACATTTATGGTGGGTTTTCTAGGAATCTCAGTAGCAAGCAAGTTGCTGGGCAGTGTTCAGATATGTTCAGATATACACCTCACCGGCAAAGAGATATACCGATTCTGTACCGTCTGGTAAACTAACATAACTATGGAAAATCACCATTTTTGATGGGACAATCCACTATAAATGGCCATGTTCAATAGCAAACTGTAAACGTTTACCAGAGGGTAAGCTATACAAACCAACATTGACCCCGTGAAGGCTTGGTCAAAACCTGAATTTTCCTTGGAGGATCAGCTCATGAGGAGAGTGCCTGTGCCATAGTCACCCGTCTCGGTGTCATCAAACGTGGCTCCCTGGGAAATCCCCGAACTAAATGGACGTTTTGGTAAATATTATATATATATATATAAAATATTAAATAAATAAATAAATATATATATATATAAATTTAAATAAATATATATATATAAATAAATTTAAATAAATATATATATATATATATACTGGTTGGTGGTTTCAACCCCTCTGAAAAATATTAGTCAGTTGTTCACACAAGGCGGGAGGCGTTCTCACTCGCACGCAGTCACGCAGACCACGGGCATCGAAGAAACGAGACTCGCATAGAAGGCGTCAAGAGAAGAGAAAAACAGAGTGATCAGCTGATTGAATTAAAAAGAAACTTCCAGTTAGACAGGACATGGTTTCGACCCACGAAAGCAACCCCAAGCATGCGATTGGCAGGGAAAGGCATGCCAATCTTCCCGCCCTTTATGTAGCCTGAAGTATGGACTTTTCCATCACTTTTGCATTTCTCGGAAACGTCGCCAGGCATGGCAGGAGTGAGAGGGAATTTCTTGGCGATGATGTTGAATGCTTTCCTAATCATAGTGGCATAGCAAGCTGGAGTCAAATCTTTGGCTTCAAGTCTCACTCCAGCGTGCCAAGCGGCAAACCCTAGCTGCAGAAAACTGGTTGAACCATTAGGATCGGGATCCCAGGAAAGGGTTACGAGCCACGTTGGCAGCATCATGGGCATCAAGCGAGGTGGCCCACGTGTAGTTTGCATGGATTGGGGACCAATCCCACAAAGGATACAAGGCTTTACAATCTTGCAGGCTGGAGGAGAGGGAAAGTTTGGGAATGTGAGCCTCATTTTTTCAAGTGCAGGTTTCTCTCTCTGATCTTTGGGTACTGCAAGGTGCGTTTGTAATTTGGTCAATGGTGGCCATTCTTCAATTGTCAGGTTACGCTCATCAAGGTTTACAAAAAAACGGATGATTAAGCGTTGCGGATGTTTTCGCGATTTTGTCAACCCTACGGTTCACAACGACAATATCTTGCACAGTAGTTCCGTGCTTGGTCCCGATTGCAACTGAAATGGCCTCTTCCGGAAGGTGTTCAACGACATGCGAAGGGATCCATTTTATAGAGATAGGTTGGGGGGTGTATAACCTGCATGTCTCCGAATGAAAACATCACGAATAGCAAACCACCAGCAGGTGAGAGCCAAGCCGCCTCCAAAGCCAAGGTCCACGATCCAAGTTCACGGCCGCTCCGCGCGCTGCTGAGGCCCACAGTTCGCTTTTCAGGTGACGGAGAGGATCCGCTACCTTCTGGTAATTTAACAGTTTGCTATTGAACATGTCCATTTATAGATATATAGTTGATTTACCCAGTAAAAATGGTGATTTTCCATAGTTATGTAAACGTTTACCAGAGGCTACCAGATCCTTTGAAGTGCTCAGCCTCTTGACATTTGTCGCTAACGAATACATGGGGATGCCGGCGAACCTGTAATCTGGCCACGCGTTGCTGAATGCCGTGTGTAGGCGCGACCTTGAGTTCCGAGGCGAAATCAATGATCATCCTTGAGAGAAAATGGAGTTGTAGTCCAACTCCCCTTTGGAGCCAGACACATGGTGGCCCCTTTGGGAGTGCCATGATGCTGTCCATCTCATCAGCTCACATGGCGTGGGTTCTGAGAGATGTTCCTGATGAGGGTTCCCAACATTAGCAGCTCAGCAAGCCCTAGTCCGGACGTGATATGTCCAGCACCTTCAATGCACGGTGAATCACCAAGTAATCAATTGCAAGTCTTTTTGAAAAGACCTCGCAGCCCCGCGCATGGCCAACTTCAGATATCCTACGCATAAAATCAGGATTGCCAATTTTTGCTACCCTGTCAGCATTAATTAGCATTAATTAATATTAATTAGCATTAATTAGCTGCTTAGTAATCCCCTATTAAAAAAAAAACGCAAACCACCCATAAATATATATATATATATATGTGTGTTTCCTCATAATTTGCTAAGTAAATCAAACGAAACCCTCAAACAACACCTAAAATGCTGGACCTAACCATGCTACTACCTGGCTACTACTACTACTGTCGCACGGGCCGCCGCGGGCAACGCGGGCAACCGCCTGGTACTCTGCATAGGACTCCGCGATGAATCGCTGGATCTGTCCAAAGCTATTGAGATTGGACCCGAAAGCCTGGCGCTGTGGCGCTGCAACAACTCGCCACCTGTGATTGTTCAAATGGAAATATATTTTTACACAGTCCCAGGATGTCCCATGGCACCAAGAATATCAAGATTTAACATGATATACTGTATACATATTATATAGTTAAATTATGTTGAATTGATCATGGATATGGTTCGAGTATAATCATGTTGTCATCAATGGAATAGATACAGTGGATGGGCCAGCGAAATCCTTCACCACCGAAAGGATGGTTGAACCCCTATAAAGAATAGGATTTTGCCCACCTATCAACTGGTGCAGGATTTCGCTGGCCCATCCACAGTATCATCACCAATGGAGACTGATCTGCAAGATGGTTGATGGGCAAAGACCTGGACCTGGAGATAAAAACATGATGTTTATGGGGATATCACTGGGAAAATTTCGATATACCCTCTGGTAAACGTTACATAACTATGGAAAATCACCATTGTTCATGGGGAAATCCACTATTTCTCATTTTCAATAGTTATGTTAGTTTACCAGAGGGTATCACCACCTTAATATGATATTTAATATAATATAAGTGCGTCTGAAAATGCGGGTATTACAGTAGATGTCTTGATCATGGGGGTGTTAGATGCAAACAATGGAATTTGACACACCCAAATGTGTTTTTGTTGTTTTTTCTCGTTTGGTACATGTCTAACAAATGAGATGAAACACGATCCAACCTGAGGATTTCAAAAATAAATAAAACAAAAACAACACATCATTGAAAAAAACAAATCAAAACGCAAAATCGGAGGTCAGAGACGCCCTGGGTTCAAGTCTCAGATCCACAGGTTCCACTCATCCCAGGATCGTCCTAATGACCTGTATAATCCATAAGCTATACTGTCCTTGGTGGCTCATCACGCGAACAAAAAAATGATTATAACCGTAGTTGGTTCAGTGGGATAAGACCAGTAACTGTATAATCCATAAGCCATCTACTTGGTGGCTCATCACACGAACCGTAAAATCCGTAAATGGGTGATATATATATATATAATTATATATATATATAATTATATATATATATATATCATATATTACCCCAGTTAGTTCAGTGGGATAAGAAAGGTGAAGAAACTTATGTCTCATTGGGCTTATAAATCACTTACTGTATCCGATTCGTGGGATGAGCCACCAAGTATTGTTGCAAACCTAGGAACATGATCTACCCTCTGGTAATTTAACATTGCTATGGAAAATCACAATTTAATTTTTAATGGGTAAATCAACTATAAATGGTCATTTTCAATAGTTATGTTAGTTTACCAGAGGGTATATTAGTATATTCATGTTAAACTACTGTTGGGTCAAGGACTGTGTCTTCTTCTCTTCCACCGCTTTTGCTACACTTGGATCATTTTGGGACCATGAGGCAGTGGATGAAATGCCACATTTTCAGAACCAAATTATATTCACATATCACATGGTTGGTAAGTTCTGTCTGCTTGAATCTTCCCCCCCCAAAAAAAAACAATTTATACTGGTTGGTGGTTTCAACCCCCCTGAAAAGATGAGTTCGTCAGTTGGGAGTATTATTCCCAATATATGGAAAAAGGTTCCAAACCACCAACCAGATATGTATCTTCCTCCGAAATCTTCGATACATATTAGTTGATTTATCCCAATATATGGAAAAAATAAAAAACATGTTCCAAACCACCAACCAGAAATGTATCTTCCGAAATCTTTCATACATAGTTGATAAATATCTCCAGGAACAGTACATATTAGTTAACACATATTCCAATTTATAGATTTTGGTTGACATATCAGATAAAACTTAAAACCCTTAACTTGAAACATCGCCCTCTCTGAGCTTCGTGTGTCTTCGTCCCTTCGTCCGGCCACGAGGCACAGAGGACAATTTCCTGTGAAATATCAGATACCCTCCGGTGTCATCAAACATGGCGTGCTGGAAAATACACTATGTTTTTTTCGGTGATTTTCCTATTGAAACCCTCATTTCTATCATTTCTAGTGGATTTCCAGCCAGCCACGTTTGATTACCGGATGGTAACCAATTAAACTCCCAATTTCAAATGAACCAGAAAAGTGAGAAAGTCAGCGGCCTGGCGCTCTCTGGCGTACCTGGTATGTCAAAAACAAAAAGGCTATCCGGACTGCAGTCTAAGCGAATATTGTGGAAAATCGAACAAACAAAAATACAATCTAAATATGTTAAATGATCAAACACATATTTCTTCTGGTTAAACAATCATTAACTAATACACGGATATTTATGTGGGTTTCTATCAGAGCAACCTGTTTTGCAGAAAATTTATGATCAAACACGTTCAACTTTAGTAACAACATGTTTGGCAGCTTCCACATGTGTGACACATGGTTGAGCACCGATCGATTTCACCAACAAAAACAATATTCAACAAGGATTCAGCGGAAATCGAGTGGGACGAATGAGACGAATCATTTGGACCGTTTAACCCGGATTTACCTCAAAATGGCGATGCAGCAAAGCCAATGGTCCCAGTTATTGCAGTGTATACCCAGCTAAATAATCCCGTTTCCTTATTATTGAATACCACCAATAATTAAGTTGTCCAAAATGGCTGGAATACATCCCAAACACATAGCCACCCAGCATTTGGCTTGTGGCAAAAAATCGAAAACTCCTTGGAACAACTCCAATTGTTGATGGTAAATCAGATTTTGAAATCACAACAATCCCACAGTGAATCCTGATTTTGTTACTAGAATCCAAACAAAAAACATCAAAACAGATATCCCATGATATTCACATCATATTCCCATTACCCTCTGGTAATTTAACATAGCTATTGAAAATGGCCATTTATAGTGGATTTTCCCATGAAAAATTGTGATTTTCCATAGCTATGTTAGTTTACCAGGGAGTATATCCAATTTTGTTGGTTAAAACATGGGAATGTGTCAAAAAAATCAAGCTCCGTGGGACCCCAGATTATAGTATTATATTGTATTTGCATAATATTCACAATCTAACTACTGGGGTACCTAATTTTGACCTATACCCATACAATATATTCCCATATATTCCCATATATTCCCATTATATCTATACTACACGGTATTATACTATATCCATACCTATACCCATACAATATATCCCTACGATTATTTCCATACATTATTCCAGGATTATAACTAGTTATCCAACTAAGTATCTCCGATAACTCCCATCAACTCTCTCTTATCATTAATTGTCTCCGATAACTCCCATTATAACTATAGTTATCCCATTAGTTATCCCTATGAATATGATGCTCCCATCATATTCCCATCAATAATGTCCTTTGGGTAAAAATAGAGGGGCCGGTTTGGTATACCATCTATCATCATTTACCTGTTAAAGGGGTTTCTTCAAACCCCTCTATTAATAAAAAACACTGGGAAAAGGCCTTCTATGATTCCCATGATCTCCGATAACTTGCTGCCGCCCACCGTCACCTGTTCATTTCCTCAATGCATCGTCGCGCGATGCCCAGACTCATGGCCGCCAGAACCACCTCGAGGGAGGGCATCGGATTCGTGAATTAGAAAGCATCAATCCGGTGGGGATATCCTATCAATCAGTTATACCAGGGTTATTAATATGGTTATTAACCATGGCTATTAAATGGGTATTAGATGTTATTATACCATGGTTATTATATGGTTTATGTTATGGATTTGATGCATTATGAATTAAGAAAACACACGGTATAAGTGATTAGTGAATGGTATAACTGATTGATAACCATGGTTATTATAACCATATATATATATAATACCATGATTATTAATGTTATTAACTACTGCTGGGACGCACTCCAAGTAGCCATTTATACTGGAGATGACCGAGAGATATACCAGGAGCAGTCGCGAGCTTTTCTGTGCCAAGATGAAGGACTCCTTGCACACAGCCCTCTACGAAAGGGATATCCAATAATGTGTTCTGGGTACTTTTCAGACATTACAACAACTTCTGGCTCCCCAATTTCGATTTGCAAATAAACCAACTTGCAATGCTAAAATTGTTTGAAGATAATCAATATAAACCATCTGATTATATTATCGTTGGTTTCTATTATAACCTTAAGTTGGATTTCTGGTGAATCCAATCTCCAATCTTTTTCGGGGGCCTGGGTCCCTGGGTGCCCTGGGTGCTGGGTGTATCACATTGTTGCTAAATCATCGGAGCGTTTTGTTGGTTTTAAGTGACACATAAATTTGTTGTTTGATCAACAAACTTTATATGCTGGTGCCAAGAAAATGGAGATCTGAGCCAGATCTAGAGCCACTGTGTTTTTGGGACTGGCTTTTGGGAATGCGTTTTGGGAATGCTATTCAGTACACTGATCCGGCCAAAGGAGACTGATCCTGGAATTTTGATGTATTTGTTTAGGAAACTATTTTAGTTTAAACATATTGTTTAAATCTCCCCATGTTTGTTGCTTCATGTTTGTTTCAACTGGACTGTAGCGAACCTATTGAAATACATGACTGGTTGGTGGTTTCGACCCCTCTGAAAAATATTAGTCAGTTGGGATGACTGTTCCCAATATATGGAAAAAAAAAATCCAAACCACCAACCAGATGAACGCATGGCACAGTACTGAGACTCTATAAACCGCCTCACCTACCAGTGGTGATCGTTCGCAGGAACGACCCCCAGGGGCCCCATGTTTCAAAACTTCTCCGTACAGGCACTGCCAATGGTTGTCTCTGAAAATCGAGGACACCCTGAAATCTTATTTCTTATCTGGTTGGTGGCACATCATAATCCCATTATATTCCCCATATCATTCATTATATCACTAGTTGGTGGTATACCTACCCCTCTGAAAAATATGACTTCGTCAGTTGGGATGATTCTTCCCAATATATGGACAAATAAATGTTCCAAACCACCAACCAGATATTTGTTTCTACTGGAAAATACCTTAAAATCAATATTGTATATATAGGTTCGTCCCTGCTCCTGGAACCACATACTATGGGGGTGTGGGGGGGTGGGTGGGATGTTAACGTTCATGTGAATTAATGTTCATGTGAACTCGCAGAAGCAGTTGATGCTACGCACACGCGGGGTGGGGGGGGGGGCGGGGGGGGATGTTAACGTTCATGTGAACTTGCAGAAGCAGTTGATGCTACGCACACGCGGGGTGGGGTGGGGGGGGATGGGGTGGGATGTTGACGTTCATGTGAACTTGCAGAAGCAGTTGATGCTACGCACAGATGATGATGATGATGATGATGATGATGATGATGATGATGATGATGAATGTGATGATGATGATGATGATGATGGTGATGGTGATGATGATGATGATGATGACCCTAATGGAACTTGCCAATTCCGCGACTAAATTTCGTCACGGAATGGACAAGTTTTACCAACCTAATTCAGGTTTGCGCGGTTCCAAGAGCAGGGACGAGGCTATATATACATAATATTGTACAATGTGAGGCCTCCCAGTTATAAGATGGTTTAGATTCACCCCATGAATACTATAGTTATTTGCGTACCATAAACCATAGATATTGGAGTTATGTAAGCCCCAACTGAACGCTATCTAAGTGGGGCCTCACATTGTATATATTTCAACTGGAAAATGGATGACTTGATGATCGACCCAAGGGATGTTGATGTATCCATAGCTATCCGACCAATCCCAATCGGCAACACGCCATGCCGTTGATCCTAAGCAGGCTATGCACCTGTCTACGAAGTGGGGTGAAGCATCAACAAGGAAAAGCATTCTTTGCAGACAAGTCCTCGCCAGGGTGCATGTCAGCATGATACTGGCGACAAGCTTGAGCTAGGTCCAGCCCTGTCCACTTTTCCGCGCAAACACACAAAGCCTTGAAGAGACAGGAGTATGTGGGCTCACTTTCCTTGTTCGCCAAGGCGAACATGAGCGGGTTGAAGGTTGTGCTGAAAGCCCAGATGCCGGACGACTTGTCATAATGCTTCGATGAAACTCCAACAGTCAACAGAACCCACTGACCGTTGGTCAGCCGAAACGTCCCATTGCCACATAGCTTGATGTGGGTTTTGTTATCAAGTTTGTCCAAGGTCTCTTTCAGAAGCTGGATTGCAGCAACTATTTTAGAAGCTATTTAGCAGCTAGCTAGCAGCTATTTAGAAGCTATTCAGCAACTATCTGGAAGCTATTTAGAAGCTATTCAGCAACTATTTGGAAGCTATTTAGCAGCTAGCTAGCAACTATTTGGAAGCTATTTAGCAGCTAGCTAGCAGCTATTTAGAAGCTATTCAGCAACTATTTGGACACTATTTAGCAGCTAGCTAGCAGCTATTTAGAAGCGATTCAGCAACTATTTGGAAGCTATTTAGCAGCTAGCTAGCAGCTATTTAGAAGCTATTCAGCAACTATTTGGAAGCTATTCAGGGTAAATCAACTATTTCTATGGCCATTTTCAATAGCTATGTTTGTTTACCAGAGGGTAATTGATGTTGGTAAAGCAATGCCATAAACCATTTTATAAATTGATGGGTGTCAATTCCACCATTTTTTTTTGTGGAAAGTCATTCGGGATGGTGGAATCCGATTGCTTTCCTATCATGGAACAATCGATCAATCGATCAATCACCATCAAACTGATGGATCTGAGGTGCTCGTTCGATCTCCAGATTTCTCATCATGCACAGGGTGGCCTTCCCTGGCGCGCGACCGAGTGGAAAACATCGACACAGCAGATGATCGGCTACTACATGGCAATGACAAATCCCATAGAAAATGGAGATGTTCATGGAAAAATCTTCTATAAATGGAGGATTGTCCATTGTTATGTTTCATTACTAAAGGTGGAAGGTGTGTCACTGGCTGTTACAGTAGAGTTAGTCCCCAGCTAGTTCGATCCGAGCTATTTCAAAGTCAGGTGCATTGCGATCATCCAATTTCCGACCGTTTCATGGCCTTTCAACTATTATTTTCGGTGATTCTTGATCCACTCATCATCTCAAAATGTGGTTGAGTTAATGGAGACATATAGAGAACACATATGTTAAAGATAACTTGGACGATTTTGTTTGAGGATCCCCAAAAAAATACGACCTCTTCATACCTATTCCCCTTGAATCCATGCCTCACTGGGAATGTATTTTTTTCTCTCCAACAACTCCAGATATTTGTCGAGGTGTGGTTCAAAATGATGTAAATACCAAAATAAAATCAGTGATTTTCTTCGTACAATGTGTACACGCCCCAAGATTTCCTTGGTTTTGTTCAACAAAAAAATGTAAACCATGGGTAAACCAGGAGATTGGGCCATCCAGGGCTTGGTGCATACAATTTGACAACCCAAATAGTTGAAACATATTGGTTGAAGGGAAAACCATATGCACAATTATGGCCCGGAATACCAGTTATAAGTACTTATAACCAAATTTATAGAATGTGTAATCCAATTTATAACCAGTGTAAACTAATAGCCATGGCCTTAAGTGCAGGAGGCGCAGAAAACGCATGGTTTTCCTGCAGATTTCCCCCTAATCAAAGCCGAACATATGACGAAACATTGCCACTTCAATATTGCTTGATACAGCAATTGCAGTGGTATACATGGACTGCTGTCCCAAATCTCAACTTGTTTTTTCGTATATTGCTTAACCCATCTATATATTCGTGGTTTTTTTGTGGGTCCACTTATAAGTAGAGCAGTCCCAAATCTCAATAACCACCATAAGTTGAGATTTGGGACTGCTCTACTTATAGTCATACATCCGCTGTATCCACTCAGAACTGGAACTACTGAAACTACACCCCCACCCGCACATATAGATGGTCTGAAAAAGATGATGATGTTCCTAATCATATTCCTACCAGTAGTACCGCACAAGGCGGTGGCGGAAGTTTTAAACATAGGAAACCTATAGGAGAGGTTGGTTGTTGTGAATCAGGGATGGCAGAGCGAAGCCACTGATGGAGCGAAAGGTGATTGATCTCTCTCACTATTTCTCTCTCTTTCTCTCACTATCTACCTACCTACCTACCTACCTACCTACCTACCCACCTACCCACCTACCCACCTACCTACCTCCCACCTACCTACCTACCTATCTACCTACCTACCTACCTACCTAACCTACCTACCTACCTACCTACTTAGCTATCTATCTATCTCTCTCTCTCTCTCTCTTTGGTTCTGTCTCCTCACCGTGCGACAGTGACGAAGCACAAGCTCTGCAGCACTTTTTTTCAGGTAGCTGAACTCCAGGCTGCGCTTTACTTTGGGATTAAAGATTCAAACGTCCCACCCGGAATGGTTTTGGGGCCGGGTCCCCGGAGAAAAAATGGAACAACACCCCTCGTCGGGATCCGGTCGGATCCCAATCCTTCACTCGGCATGGATGTTCGCCAAGACGGCTAGGAGCTCGTCGAGGCCAGCCAGAATCCCAGGGATGTCTTCATCTGGGATATCTGGGTCGTCATCAGGCACGTCCGGCTCTTCTCCGTCCTCGTCCTCGCCCTCGCTGCCGTCGGGCAGCCCCATCCACGCGAGGTGGACCAGGAAGGTATAATTGTGTGCCCGCCTGGGACGTGGAGTCTGGCCAGCACTTCCGTCTCGCCGACTGCGTCTCTGGCCCAGCGCCACCACAAAGATGTGGTTTCGCCCCAAAACCGCACTGCCAGGGCGTGCTCGGGCAGCATGTCTTGCAATTCCCACCAAGCCGTGTCCGCAGCCACCATCTCCCCCCGCCGGGGGACTGCTTCGGTGAGCACCTCCATGCTGACGCGGTGCCCATCTATCTGTCTATCTGTCTATCTATCTGTCTACCTATCTGTCTGTGGTGCAGTGTCATTCAGTGTAATGTAGTGTAGTGTAATATAGTGTGGTGTAGTGGACAGTAGTGGAATGTAGTGTAGTGTAATTTAGTGTAGTGTAATTTAGTGTAGTGGAGTGTAGTTGTGTAGTTGTAGTTGTAGTTGTAGTGTAGTGGAGTGTAGTGTAGTGTAATGTAGTGAAGTGTAGTGGAAGGTAGTGTAGTGTAATGTAGTGTAGTGTAGTGGAGTGTAGTGTAGTGTAATGTAGTGAAGTGTAGTGTAATTTAGTGTAGTGGAGTGTAGTGTAGTGTAGTGGAGTGTAGTGTAATGTAGTGTAGTGTTATTTAGTGTAGCGGAGTGTAGTGGAGTGTAGTGGAGTGTAGTGGAGCGTAGTTATGTAGTTGTAGTTGTAGTGGAGTGTAGTGTAGTGTAATGTGATGAAGTGTAGTGGAAGGTAGTGTAGTGTAGTGTAATGTAGTGTAGTGGAGTGTAGTGTGGTGTAATGTAGTGTAGTGAAGTGTAATTTAGTGTAGTGTAATTTAGTGTAGTGGAGTGTAGTGGAGTGTAGTTGTAGTGTAGTGGAGTGTAGTGAAGTGTGATGGAAGGTAGTGTAGTGTAGTGTAGTGTAATGTAGTGTAGTGTAGTGTAGTGGAGCGCAGTGTAGTGTAATGTAGTGTAGTGTAGTGGAGTGTAGCGGAGTGTAGTGTAGTGTAAAGTGTAGTGGAGTGTGATTGTAGTTGTAGTGTTGTGGAGTGCAGTGTAGTGTAATGTAGTGTAGTTTGGTGTAGTGGAGCGTAGTGTAGTGCAATGTAGTGCAGTGATGCGAAGCGAAGCGAAGCGACATCTGAACTTCCAAAAGTGGTCCGAACCCCTAGTGTTTTTAACATTTTGACTTGGAAATGTGCTTCGCGCCACAACGGCGTGCACTTTTTCGACATCTGAACCTCCAAAAGTGGTCCGAACCCCTAGTGCTTTTAACATTTTGACTTGGAAATGTGCTTCTCGCCACAACGCCGTGCACTTTTTCGACATCTCAACTTCCAAAAGTGGTCCGACCATGTTGTGTTTTGTACATTTTCACTTCGAAATGTGCTTCGCGCCACAACGGCGTGCACTTTTTTGACATCTCAACTTCCAAAAGTGGTCCGAGAATGGTGTGTTTTGTACATTTTCACTTCGAAATGTGCTTCGCGCCACAACGGCGTGCACTTTTTCGACATCTCAACTTCCAAAAGTAGCGCGAACATGTGGTTTTGTGCATTTTGAGTTGGAAATGTGCTTTGCGCCACAACGCCGTGCACTTTTTCGTCATCTCAACTTCCAAAACTGCTCCGAACCCTCAGTTTTTAACACATTTTACTTCCAAATGTGCTTCACGCCACAACACCGTGCACTTTTTCAACATCTCATCTTCCAAAACTGCTCCGATCCCCTCAGTTTTAAACACATGTTACTTCCAAATGTGCTTCGCGCTACAACGCCGTGCACTTTTTCAACATCTCAACTTCCAAAAGTGGTCCGGCGCTGAGGTGTTTTGTATCTTTTCACTTCGAAATCGGCTTCGCGCCACAACGGCGTGCAACTTTTCATCTCTCATCTCCCCAGATGTCTCCGCACCCGCCGCTTTAGCGAGCCTACTTTTCGACCCTCCGGAGCCCCAAATCATTGGAAAAACACAGTGTTTCGCGACTTTCCTACCTTTCGCGCATCTGCATCTTCTTTCTTCTTATTACTCTTCTTTCTTCTAATCTTTCTCTTCTCTCTGCCTCTTCCCTGCTCTGCTTTTCATCTGTCCATATTGTCGGAAGTTTGACTTCTAAACTTCCTTCGATTATCTCCCATAAAAGAAAAAACAGCAAAACTGCAACCACAACTGTTCCCATTGTTGATGGTTGTCGAATTATTATTTTTCTTTACCAAATATTATAACCGGAACTGCGCCCCCTAGCAATTGATGTATAGTAACTGATAGCATTTTTTATTGTATTTATATACGGTAACTACATTCAAAATATATATGAACTGGTATCTTATACTACCTCCTGGGCCTCGCGGTCTGCCCGCCCTCAGCATATTTAAATGTCGTTACCGTATATATATATATGTTACACATATCACATTGATTGTAATTGGGAATTCATCTCTTGGGGACATTTGATACAGTGGATGGTTGCGAAATCTTGCACGATAGGTGGGCAAAATCCATTGTTTCTAGGGGTTCAACCATCCAAGGTGGTGCAGGATTTCGCAACCATCCAGAATAACTAGCAGGTACCAGCAGCTTTCCATATATCATTGTACATCATTAAATATCATTAATATTCATTATATAATCATTGAGAGTCATTATGCAGCCATTGTTAACCATCATTAATGTCCATCATTGGAACAAAAATCTCTCCAAACGTGCCCCCGTCCGGCGAGCCGCACCCTCTTCGCCGATCAAGTTCGACGCAGGCACCCGGCAGTCCTGGAGGACAGTCCCAAATCCGGCGAAATCGGAGATGTTGGGACCATGGGGAACGAGGAGACTTGATGAACCAAACTATAAAGTTATAGCTAATAATCATCTATAATGTCAATATAATGTCAATATAATGGGAATATAGTGGGAATATAATGGGAAAACTAAACTATGAGATTAAATTAAACTATCAACTATAGTTGATGATCATTTTTTTAAGATTACTAGGTATGTATACATATATTATACTTTTTTTATGTGAGACCAACCAAACTATACGTAGTGAACTTGATAATTAATAAACTACATGTTTGATCAATCAACCATAATTGAGCAATAAATTTGACATGAGACGTAAGATATGTTGTCAACTGATTATAGTAAGATTTCACTATTCATTATCAACACAGTTAGAGTTTTGACTATTTCAAGATACGCGATGTTAAAATACTTCAAAAAACCTTTGGTATTTTTTCAATATGCTACTATGTTGGGGAATCTTTGCCCATTCTATGACAATTTTGAAATAGCAAACATATGCAGACACATGCAGACACGCATATTTTGTGTCAGCATCGGATGGACTATGCTGAAATATGGTTCCAAAACCCATTAAAATCCCACTAAATCTCATTATATAAATCCATGTGGGTTTGTGTGGAGACTCTTCATCCATGGCCGAGAAATGGACAATCAAAGGCACACCAATGCGGCGACGCGCATCCTGTCGTCTTATCGTCTTATCCATATCATGCAGATTTCCATAGTCATGGGGGTATCCCGATCTAGACATGTTTTTTTTTTTTATATCAAGTTGAAAAATCCCATCTAGAAATGGATGAGAACTGGGGGTACTATTTCATGAATCCTCCATATGGCTCTGCTTCCAAACGTCTGCAGATGGTATAGGCCACCCGTCTCGGTGAAACATGGCTAGCTGGGAAATCCCCTAAAACATGGCGTCTTTCATCGGCAAATCCAGTATATATATATATATTCCATTATATATACAATGGGAGGCCCCCGTTCGATAGCTAAGGTGGGGTTCACATAACTCCAATATCTATGGTTTATGGTACGCAAATAACTATAGTATTCATGGGGTTTATAAACCAACAAACATAACTGGGGGGCCTCACATTGTATAAATGGGAGATGATCAATTGCCACGTTTGATTGCTGGAGGGTATCTAGGTTTGTCAGATAATAGCGAATCCTAAAATTAACGGTTTCGACAACAAGTTTCCAGTTTCTCCATAAAACGTGTCATTTACGGACGTCCCGATATCCCACCATTTTTTGGACAACCTATGATCATTCCATTTGATACCCAAACAATGGAATATGACCATCTGGTTATTTAACATCAGAGAAAATTGCCCATTGTATAGATGATTTCTGATGATTTAATTCTTAAACATTGAGAATTTCCATAGCTACGTTAAATTACCAGAGAGATAAGGACTTGTCTTATCCTGATTGTTTGATGATTCGAGGTAAGTTGCTGGTCAATATCCAACAAACTGATGACTAGTGTCGTCTGTTGGTTGCTGGATATATGTAATGTCAACCCCGGATTAATAAACCATGGTTTATTAATTAGGGGGTACCCTCCATATAGTCACTTTATATGGTACATAAATGGTACCCTCCCAATTAAACAGCCGTAAACGGGGTTTATTAATTCTAGGGTTGACATTATATGTAATTGCTGTTTAAAGTCACAGATTCATCCCCACGTGTTTTTGGCTAAAATCCCACGTGTTTTTAGCCTCTGTGAGCAGTGCTCAATCAAAAGCCTGTGTCCTCCGTGTATATTGGCTGGTTGATGGGGATTTCCTTTATGGATTGTGATAACCCCCAACGTATTGTTCCCGTTTTTTAATCATCAACCACCCATCATTCATAAGTTATATACACTTATAATCACTTAAATCATCTTATATCCCCATAGTTTCAGGCCAAAAAAACCCGATGAAGTGGCGATTTCCTCGCCAGCAGCAGTCTCTGGCAACCACTGCCCAATATTGTCCTTCTATATCTTTTTAGGAAAAATAAAGGGGCCGGTGTGGGATACTACGTATTGATTTTTGACCTATTGCTTGTTGAAAAGCCTCAAGCAGCCTCAAGCAAGAATCAACCAGTGGGAAAAGGACAATAATCATCAACCAACCATCATGACATCATGCATCAATTACCATCAGTTAAAACCACACAAACAAGTTATAGTATCAACCATATGGACCATAGATGAGCATAGAGTTTTTCGCCCTTTACCAGTTATGGCAGTTTTGGCCATGGGATTATAATGACATCTATAACCTTAGTTACCCAGTTTCAAGAGAAACGTTGCTCATCCCATGGCTCCATGGCTGTTAGGGGCTACAGGTCATGGTGCCCCCTAGTTATGTTTGTTGGTTTATAACCCCATCTAAATATAATCATAAGTATCATACGCTATTGATGTTATAGTTATGTTCTCCAACTTAGCTAATGAACTGGGGGCCCATCCTGTATATATATACACGATTATATACGTGGATATTGTGAGATACAACCATATATTTTTTTTGTTTTAAAAGGCTATAACCGTAATGGTACAACACCAGGACAAAAGTTTTTCCTCTTGACTAGCTGCTGCAACCCTCTCCCCTTAGACTCCTGACACGTTTCATATGAATCACATGGCGGATCGCGGATCAGCTGGTTTGCTTTAAAATATGCTTAATCTATTCCGAGTTGAAATACGATCCGCCACGCAGGCCACGCAAAATGAGGATAATTGATCCGCGGCTGAGGATCATGATGTCTATAGATTCTATAGAGTCTATAAGACGCTAAACGGGAAAAAACTGTTTTCCTCCCATGCTATCAAGTGCTTCTTGCAACCCCGTTGATGGCTGCAACAACATCCGGATCTACGGGGGCAAACTCAGTGCTTGGCTCGTCTCCGAATGCAGGAGATGAGTGCGGCACATCGATGTCAGCAGGGCTAGACGTGTGCTCTCTTGTGGGAGTCATAGGGAGTTCTCCCCATGTCGAAATCGCATTGATCGAGGACAGACCAAAGGGTTCATACTTTTATTTACTTCACCGCACTGCTTCAGGCACCTGAGGAGTCCGTGTCCAGGGCGAAGCCCCGGGCGAAGAGCTGGCGATGTAGCCCATTTCCCATGGCATCCCTCCTGGAAGACCAACTCAGCGGTCATGGAGGCGCGCATGCCACATTTGTCCTGTCGTGGGCTGGTGCTGTCCCCGACGTTGAATCGTGGAGATTTGCCACACAAACAATGGGGACTTAACATGACTTAAACCAGAAAAATGCTGATTGAAACCCAAGAAATGGTGATTGCCAGAAAACATTGGCATATATTGGGAATTAAACAAGAAACCTTGGGATTCATGGTTGCTTTTGATAGTATAATTAAGTTGGTGAACATAAAACTATGGTTCATGGTATAGATACAATTATCGAAAGATAATGGGGGCTATAAACCAATTCAAAATGGGGCGATCAAGAGATGGTTTCTTTTTGCTATTAATGTTCAGTTCTTCAGAAATAGTGGTGGTGGTAATATATAGTGCCTCCATTTCAACGCATATGTAAACATAAAAACCCAAGGGTATGCCATCCCATTACCCAAGCTAAAATCTCCCATTACATCCAAGTAAATCCAATCAAACAATCATTTGGTCAAAAAAAACAACAAATCCCGATTTTTAGGGATGCCACAGGCCCAGGGCCATGCCTCAATCTTCTGGCCCAAAGAGAAACCTTTGGTACCCTTTTCCACCAGGAAGAGCGACACGTCGCGGCTAGTCTTGCCCGTTCGTGCATAAACCTGGCGATTTTCGGGTGGTTTGCGAGAACTGAGGGGGTTATTCTTACAATGTGAGGCCCCCCAGCACCCCATGAATACTATAGTTATTTGTGTACCATAAACCATAGATATTGGAGTTATGTTCGCCAACTTAGCTATCTTGGGGGCCTTACATTGTAAGGATGGCGGGGTCTGATTTTTTTGGGGATCCGAAAGCTGTGGCTTGAAACGCCAAAGTGGTCGTTCATGACTTGGATGATTTGGGGTACCCCTATGTTAGGAATCCTCCATATCGAACTAGCAACTGCCAAGGGATTCATTTGAGGGACAATCTCAGGATTAAAACCAAAGTCAGTGGAAATCAACAAGAACGGCCAACTCAGTAGCACATGGTTAGTAAATGACAAAACTTAACAAACAACAAAGTTCAGATCTGTGGTTCATAACTGATCTGGCAGGATTTGCACCAACAGAGGTTTTAGATGGTTTTAGGAACCAACAATGGGAATACCCTCAGGTTTTTTCAAACATGGGATGGAAAATCCTTCATTGATAGGCCATTATCCCATTAAAGTCATGGAAAAACCTGGAAATTCAGAGCCCTGAGGGATACCCAGCAACCCTGAGGGAGAGCCGTAAGCCCCCAAAAAACCCGGGTGCTTTCTGAAAGTCATGTGCCGAAAAAAACACGAGGATTTTGCAACGCGTCTATCTTTTTAGGCATTGCCATGAAAGTATCCTTGCAGTTAAGGCCATTTATTAGTTATAACTGGTTATAAATGGGATTATACATTCTATAAATGGGGTTATAAGTACTTATAACTGATAAAGGGCCATAACTGTGACGATTTGCTGAATGACTTCCCCCAACGACCAAAAATGTTCCCTTAATCCATGAACCGCAGTCCGACAGTGGAATTTCCGCACTTAAATCATTTAATGTCCAGGTCATGTCCAAATAAATAGATGATATTAACATATTAATTTACTTACATAACCTGGAATATGACATATTATATTTACATATATTTCTGTACATATAGAGTAAATCTATTTACTATTTACTTACAGTAATATTTCCAAGTTTCCAACTTTTCAATCGGCAGGGGGTTCCTATGGTTGTGTCTTTTGCTCAATATGACGCCTTCCTAAGAAATGATGAATGGCTTAAGCACTCACCAAGATGTTGACCCGTTGTTGGCTGACCTAAACATCCACATGTTGGAGTCATTAAACGTGGCAACTGAGCATCCTAGCTCCTGGCTTTAACGATTGTTTACTGGGAAAATCATCAAACATCATCCAAAATGGTGGATTTTGCAGCATTTTCCATGTTTGATTACCAAAGGGTAAAGAGTCTTGACCTATGGCCGCATATCAAGCAATACTTGGCGCGACTGATCCTCCAAGTGTGGTTACTACCCACTTAGTAATCTACCCAATTTTACTATGTATATATATATACATATATATATATATATATGACCTATGATATAAATAACATTACCAATTTTGTCCCGTTTATCCATATATATATATATACTATACTACACAAAAAAAAAGTAATCTACCAGTTCTAAAATCATTACTTAATATCTAGTAACTAATAATCATCAATCATATATTAAGTATATATATATATTTAATTATATGTATATCTATCTATATATATATATCTATATATATATATATTATGTATATGTACATGCAGCATGGTTCGATGATGACTGCTGTCCCTTCCATAGCCACGGCGTCGCACCAGGTAGGCATCGCCCGTCTCCTTGCCGTCCACCGTGCCGTTGGTGATCCACATCTTGGCGCCGTTCAGCACGTACCTTCAGCGCGGCATCTCCCGACGGGCCAACATCCGGTGAACGGACAGTACATGGATGAGAAAACTAGTACTATAAAAATAGAAAAATATTAAAAAATACAGTACATATCCAATGTATTGTTTTTTATAATATATTGGATAGATTTATGGTACATAATAGTATCCCAATAGTACTATTAAAAACAAAAACAATAATAAGCCACTAATAATTAGTATTGGGATATAACCCACTTAGTAACTTTCACATAACCAACTGGAAAATCCAGCCATTTTTCATGGGAAAACTCAACTATTTCTTTGGCCATTTTGAATAGCAAACTACCAGTACATGGATTATAACCCGCTTAGTAACTATAATTATTCCAATAACTACAGCCAATGGGTATCTCAGTATCTCAATAATAAGTTAGTAAATGAATGGTCTTTTTTGTGGTTTATAACCAGTTATAACCTACAAAAACTAACCAGTTAGAGAAAACTCAGACAGCCCATCTAAGTGTGTGTTTTTTTTTCCGTGCGGGTCGGAGAATCAAAAAGGGGAGGGAATGGATTGTGAAGACCTTGGAGATCAGGATTGGATAGGTTTTGTTGGGAAAATGTACAGGAAAACCCAATCTAAATATGGGAAACCCTACAATCCATTGGAGATATTGGAGATAAGGATTCTAGAGTTTAAGATATTGGCATTTGGACACTGGATTGGTGTAAGGGAAAATTTATCTATGTATTTGACGGAAAACTGCAATGGTTTGCGGTCAAGGTGCTCCCTTCAAATAGCCCAATGATTGGGGGTGTAGTTGCACTTCAGAAGATTTGATAAATAAGTGGGTATATGGCCATGTTGGTAGGGTTGTATCCGAACTCATGGAAGTTATTACCCTGGTTATAGCCAGAAATAATCTCAACTGCAAGTTGCAAGTGGTGCCCCCTAGATAGCTAAGTTGGTTTTTAACAATATGATGAAATTAAATGAAATTAATATACCATCTGGATATTTAACATAGCCATGGAAAATCACCATTTTTAATAGGTAAACCATCTATAAATGGACCATCTATACCATGGCTATGTTAAATAACCAGAGGATAGTTAGATGGGATATTACAAACAAATGATTAAAATGTTGGGGGCATCATCTCAACTACACCGCCAAGTCCCCTATTGATATTCATTGCTTTTAAAAAAAAATACCCCATGATCTACTTCCATATATCTACCATTAACAAATCTAGTTCCATATATCTACCATCAACAAATCTAGTCCATATATCTACCATGAACAAATCTAGTTCCATATATATATATATACCATCAACAAATCTAGTTCCATATATCTACCATCAAAAAATCTAGTTTCATATATCTACCATCAACGAATTTAGTTTCATTTATCTACCATCAACAAATCTAGTTCCATATATCTACCATCAACATATCTAGTTCCATATATATATATATCACCAACACATCTAGTTCCACGTATCTACCATCAAATATTTTGTTCCATATAACTACCATCAAGATATCTAGTTCCATATATCTACCATCAAGATGTCTAGTTCCACATATCTACAATCAACAAATCTAGCTCCATTTATCTACCATCAACATATCTAGTTCCATATATCTACCATCAACATATATTCCATTTATTGCTGTATAAAATCTGAAAAAATAAAACATGATCTATTGCAATTAAGGGGGGCTTAAACAAGATTATAAAGCCAATTCTCTACTTCCATATATGGCATGATTGATATATATATATATATAATGATATATGGCACCTAAAAAACATGATATGTCAGGGGGTTTCCATAAATGTGGAATCCCCAATAGCTGGATGGCTTATTTCATGGAAAGAACGATATTTTACCTTTGATTGGGTCATATATCTACCATTCACATCCATAAATGCCATATATTTCAAGCCCCCCAAGGCCCTCTCCAAGGCCCCCCAAGGCAGCCGAGTGACTCATCGCCCTCTCGCTTCGCGGTGGTCTTCATTCCCAGCACGTCCGTGCCCACCTTGGGTATATTTGATGGGTATATCAATGGCCATTTCAGGATCCTAAATTGGAGGTACCTACCATATATAAGGCCTATTTTTCAGGGCTAAATTTCAGGGAATATCCCCACGAAATATGGCCAAAAATATGGTACTAACGTACCTCCAATTTAGGATCCTGGAATTCCCATTGAGTATATAAACTTAGAGAGTAGTGTGGTTATAGACTTCAGAGTCTTGGGGGTAATCTTTGAGATATCATGGGGATAAAATCTATCCACCTTGTAATTGAAGAATAGATATCAAACAATTGAAGCCAGGTTTCTGAGTGCGGTGTAACGTGTACATCCGGAATAAAACCTACAGTTTTAGATGAAACAAGGAACAAGGGCCTTAGGGCTATAGTAACATATGGGTTTGTTTGAACCTGGGCACCACAAAATCCGATGGTTTACCACCACGTTCCCCCTTTTTTACTGGCATTTTGGGGCTATACCCTATGTTCAGACAGGCAAAACATGGAGATTCCCAGTTCATGAATGTTCATGGATGATGGTTATCTCCCGTACATGAAGGGTGCCAATAATCCTTCATGTAATCGTCAACCGTGACCGTAACCAGACCGCAACCAGCACATATCTAGTATAAAAACATCAGTTATATAGTTATTATTAAGTTATATCCCCCAATTTGTGTTTCCTGATAAAGACCCTACAGCAAATAGATGCCATTTGAATCCCATGAAGGACGTGGGTTGTTTGAGACGGCCGCTGGGACAACCGGCGCTAGGCTCTGACATGCACCTCGGCAGCAGGAGGTGGGAAGGAGCAATGAAATGGGTCAGCAGTGATTCGTCTCAATATAAGTTATACATCTTATTTAATGGTATAAATGTAGTTTAAATATGTTTAAATAATGTCAACCCCGGATTAATAAACCCTGGTTTATTAATTAGGGGGGTACTCCTCCAATAGTCATAATATGGTACTTAAATGGTACCCTTCCAATTAAACAGCCTAGGGGTTTATTAATCCAGGGTTGACATTACTATATATGGTATAACATGGCAATTATAAGCAGTGAAAACCCATTTTTTCTGCCATGATTATAACATGGAAATCAATCCAACGAACCAGTTGTTTGAGGCCCAGTAATCACCGACCAAAGCCATAAAGTACCATGGCCCCACAAGTCGAAGAACTTCACAAAAAAAAAATCCGTGGCCCATCCAGTTGTAGAATTACGAACTAC